GGACAAATGAAAATGAAACAAATGTGGGTAGAAACGATCAAAACGAAACAAATACGCATTTGAGCAACCTAATGAGAATAGCTGATGAAAAAGTAGATGTAGAACATTTTCCATATGATGATGTAGCAAAAATATTCAATGCTTTAAAAATTAGAAGATGTTAAAAATGCATTACAATTAAAGAAATGATTTTTTTTTTCAAGTCTCTTGGTGTTTTTTTTTTTAATTTTTGAAATCTCGCCCTGATTTTGAAAAAGGGTGAGAAATTCTCACCCATTTTTTTTCTGAGATGAAAACACTGCAACAACATTCATGTCCTGGGGGATGTTTAAATAAAGATATCTTTACCACTAATTATTAAATCTTTCTCAGATGTTAACAAAATAATAATTACAAAAAGCAGTTTTTTTGCTTTAATCAAAAAAGAACCATAATTATTACAGGAAACTCAGTTTTTTTTAGTCAAAGCAAACCAGAAAAAAAAAAATATTTAACAAAAAAAAGTTTTAAAAAATAAATTACTTACTTATATCTACTATATTTTCATAGAAAGGTAATAATCTTCCGGACAAATGATAACACAAAAAGTTTTTATCAAAGAACTAAGTAATTAATTATGCTCTTAGTAAATTAAAACCAAATGGAATTTCCTAGTGAATTAATTTTACCATACAATTGTTTCTAAAACTCTTTTAACTAGAATTTTCGATTATTAAATCAATTTTACACATAAAACATAGAAATAATCTTTAGCTAGTATTAAGAAAATCAGTCCACATTTAGAATATAGAATTTTATTTAAAAAGGTTTGATTATCTCTTTTATTGATATATATATATTTTGCTATTAAAACTAATACTTCAAAATTTTAATTGATGATTGTACATGAAATTTATGAAACTGTTTTTAAGTACTGTTTTAAATATACAGTTACATAGTTATACTAAAATACTACATTTAAGAAACCAGTTTTTAATTCAAATATACTGATGAATTGTGTCTCAAGAGCTTAATATTTCATAAATCTCAAGAGTATGTAAATGATTATTAGACTAATGTTTATTAGACTAATATTTATTAGACTAATCTAATGTTTTGGTTTGTGCATATAAGCAAAAACAAGATTTCACCTAGCCCAAGTCCTGACAGCTTGATTTATTCAAATTTTTTTAACTTTGCATCACCCGGGCACTTTTTTCGTAATCTTAAAAAAAAAAAAATTTAAAACAAATTAACGAAGAGATACAATTTGATCCAATTTTCAATAAAACACCTAACCTTACAAAAAAAAACACTTAACTCTTTGAATAAAAATTCTTTGAGGTAATTAAATTATTATTTGGAAAGAATTATTTCATTTAATTCACACTTTTCAATATTAATGCATAAAAATAGAAAGACAATCACTGGAAGAATACGAATTCATAAATAGTCAGCAAATAAATACAATTAAAAATTCACAACGTAGAAAAATCAAACAAAAAACCTGTTTGTCTGGAAAATCAATCCATTTTTTAACCGGCAGAATTAATACAATAATAGTGCAACTATTTTATCTCCAGGAAGAGATTTTAAATCAAGCAAAAGATTTAACGAATACCTTTTTTAAAAAGAAGAATCGCACGATTGTCAATCAATCCTCCTCAGACACGGAATATATTAATTCAACACCACAAGACAAATGACAAATTTGGAAAATAGGGGAGAAAGACGTAAAAGACGATGCTACAGCGCACGATGCCAGATTCAGCATTACGGAAAGGAAATACCTCCGCCCAAAAAAAAAAAAAAATAGTTAACTAAATAAAACAAATAAACTGAACTCCAAGTTAATTTTATAAATAATGAAATATTAATGACTCAATTTTGTATGTTAACTCTACGCTATGTTAAAGAGTCAATTTTCGAATGTGTTTAATTACAATTACTTGGTTGCAAATAGTTGCGTTAGATGGCAGCACTACCTTCTACGTCAAATGTTATTTTATTTTTCGTAAAACCTTGATGGTGTGAATAGAGGAACTCTAGGCGTGAATAAATAGAAATACAATGATTTTTTTTTTCTAAATATTTGTATCTGTATATCTACATTTATGTCACTTACACACAGAGGTTATGTCAAGGTAAAAGCAGAAGTGGAAAAAAAAATTTAACGTTTTTTAACACAAAAATGTTAAAATAACTTGGGTTGAGCCTTAGGAGTTCTTGTAAGGATAAGGATATAAGAATCGAAATATCTTTACAGATCGGTTTTAACATTTCAAAACATATAAATTAACTTTATTCTCATTTCAACTTTAAACTGAAATAACTAATGTACGCAAAGATAAAATATATGACGTTTTAAGCTTAAACTTATAGACTTCGGCTTATGCATTTTTCGTGTATAGAAATATTCAAAGCAAACTACCTCAGAATTATGGAAGAAATTTTCAGTTCTTAACATTTTTTCAAATTTCTCAAGAAATACTTCCAAGACTATTTAATAACTTCAGAGATGTTTAGATCATGCGATTTCTCATACTTATATATGGTATAAGTTTAATATATGGTATATACTCATATATGGTATAAGTTTAAAGCTTTCAAATGTTTGAGGGACCAACAAAAAATTACGAACGAAAAATAACATGAACACCCTTTGCCAGAAAATATAGCAATAAGCTTGTAACTTTTATACAATGGTAACAATTGGTAATTATTATATGCAGCAACTGCATAAAATTTTGTAACATTTTTATAATATATATATATAAACATTTTTAACACACAAAAAACTAATTTTTCGTTTCTTTACTATAACTATAGAAATATTGAATAAAATTAAGCAAAATTTTTGGAGCCATTTCTTTTTAAGTTAAATAATATTTATCTAAGTATATTTCTTGTCAAATATTTAAAGTGTCTTCTCCATTGTTGTAGAGAAGTGCATTTGTTAATATACCAAGTGAATATTTCTATTTGCTAGCAGCCACTAACCACATAGATTTGTAAAGCATAATGCTCTGATTACAAATATTTATGTTATATATTATAGTAAATAGAACGAATCTTAATTTTCAAAATGTTGGTGTTACTTTTTTCTTCCTTTAAAAAAAAAAACCTATTAGGTCAAGCGTACGAGTTCATAGGAAAAGGACATAGTTTTAGTAGGACAGACGCTAGACACAATTATGTTAAATAAGGTTCGACTGAAAACTACGAGGTTTATTAACTCTGGATTAAACCAGGATGGAATCTCTGCTCTAATCCAATTTTAAATATGGATGATCAATTATATCGAACAAATATGACATAAGTCCAACAAGCGATTTTATCCAACAAATATGACATAAGTCCAACAAGAGATTATATCCAACAAATATGACAAGTCTAACAAGCGAGAGTGATTTGAGCCCCCAAGTTTAATTTTACTTTATGCTTATTTCGACTTATCGCTGGGGTCTGGAACTATTTAAATTTATTTAATACATTTTGAGCGATTTACATCTTAAATTTTAGACGAATCAAATCCTTTACAAAGATAATTGCCAGCAAAACCCTATTTTAAAGATACATCTCAAAAGTGATATGAGACATACATATATATATGTGGGGGGGGTGTAATTTTAAATGGAAAATATCTGGAAAAAATCTATCAAATAGTTCAAGGATCAAAAAAACTTGAAAGTTCTATTTTTAAATTTTAATTTCTCCAACATTATACGATACGATCGATTCCCGTTCATATTTTAGATTTTATTACTTAGTTCAAATAATGTATTGACTTATTCTCTTATAAGTTTACGTTTTTTCGATAATTAGTATATAAAAAAGTAATTTTTTGTTTGCAATTTTATACTTGGATAAACGGTGCACAAAAAATTTAACAATTTCACTGATATGGTAAAATGAGCAACAGTAAAATAAATATCAACAGGTCTAACTTTCTATCACTCTTAATTCTATTATTCTAAACATTAAGACTTATTTCCCATTTTGGCCTATCCCATACATCGCAAGTCAAATATCTGAATCCAAAGGGAGAGGGAATATAGTTCTATAAGAAAACGTTTTGCGTCTGATTTCGTAACTAATTCCAATTTTTTTTATACTATATTACGTGAAAATTTAGGTCATTAAATGTATAGGAAGAACGATACATTTAAAAATTACTACATTAATAAAAGATTTATTAATAGGATAACTGTCATAAAGGATTTATTATTAAGGTATTAATTTAATAATTGAAAACACTTTAATTTACAAATAAGTTAGAACTATTTATTATTTTCAAAAACCTGGGCATCAAGTATAAAACCAATGTTTTGAAACCAAAATTATCACGCATTATAATTTTAGACCAGCTTTAAGTGTTAAAAATAATTCGGCGGTTTGGTAATGCTGTAATTAAGAAATGAAGTTTGTCATCAGATAACCTTGAGATTCAGTGTACCTTGTCTTTGACCGATTGACAAAAAGCTAAACATTTCTGAATTCTGATTTTTATCTATTACTTTTAGTTTTTATTCTTTGCTAATAGAAAAAGCAAAGAAATTCATTCACAAAATATTTTCCGCCACGTAAGTCAATGTTTCCACAAAAAGAACATTTTATTTCAATCTTAACAAAATGAACAACAACCTACCTGGTTTGGAAAAATTGAACTGTACTTTAAAAAAAAGTTCTTTTAAGTGTTACCTGTACTTGGAATTAATTTACCTGGAAAAAATTAAACTTAGAAACACAGATTGTGTGACTGAATAAGAAAATAATGGGAAGTAATTTAATTGTTAAGTTCAAATAGGAAATGGTTTTATTTCGAATATAACATTTTATATTTTTTTAAAATTTCAATATAAATGTTTAATTTTATGCATGGCAATGTCTCATTTTTTTTTTTTTAATTTTGACAAAAACTCAAACGCTAGCTCATAAAATAATGATCTATAGTGATAAAAGTTTTTGTGCAACAATGGATAAGAAATTAATCGAAGCAAAAAGTGGAAAAAAAGGACATAAATTTCAGTAATTTTAGAACAAATTCGAATTTTAAAAGAAAAAAAATCGTTCATAAATAAAAAATGGTCCTGTCCTATCGGTATGTCATAATATATTTCAGACATCAACCATCAACTGTTACTTAAAATTTCATTCTGATTGAATGGTAGAACATGGGCACTTTAAAAAAAAAAAAAAACTATAATTTAAACTTAATATTTTAGAATCTAACAAGAAAACGAACTTTTTTTTATTCCTATTTTATCACAGCTTCAAAAATACCTAATAAGTGTTAATCACCAGAAAGATCACAATTATTCATTTGATTATAAATTCCGCAAATCAAAGTATAAAAACATTCGCTTCAGAACTATTGTTACCCCAGAAAAAGCGTAGTAAAACCAAAATATATCTATTTGAAAAAATAAAATATCCCTTACCACCAAGACTTAAAACCATATATAAGATCGCTAAGTTTGAAAGCTAATAATTAACACAAACATTTCAATTAATCCTTGCGAAGCTTTATATTCATTTTAATTTCGAAACTAACATTTTCAAGCATTACACTGTATTTGCATAATATCAGTCACTAATTTGAACTAGGGGCTCGTGAACTCCTTGCTGCTTAGCAATACTTTTGGCTTTGAGGAGATAAACAGACTTACATAAAATTAAAACATCCCAAATTGTTTTAATGCATCAATTCAGGTTTATTTTTTAAATCTATTGAAATAAAATTTAAAACTTATAATTTTCTCCACTACCATGGCTATTTCAACCACCCACCTTTGTTATAAAATGTCATGTTGTTAAGTTTTGTTATTTAAATATTAGCACTTGTTAATACAGTCAAACCCCGCTATAATGAACTCCCGGATATAGTGAACGAAAGGCTCAGTCCCGTGCCTTGCTATACACGTATAATGTTATTTTCAGTGGATATAGTGAACCAAAAAAGTGAGGAAGTTGGATATAATGAACTTTTTTCTGTCTTCGACTGATTTCCCTTCCCATTTTCTTTGTAATAATTTTGAAATTTCTACTTCAAAATAAATACAAATAGCGGTTTTTAAAACCATCTATAGAAACTACTTTTATGTGCTCGAATGGCAGGTTAGACAGGTTTAAAAAACGGAATAACAGAAATTCAGGAAAAATTATCTGATAGTCGGGAAGTGTTACCATATCTGATGTTGAGGATTGCTCATCAGCTGAAGATTACTAATTTTTATTTGTACGCAAGACGAAGAATGATGAAAAATAAAACATTTTTTGCTACTACATAATATTTTTCAGCCATTTATATGAATATAATGTAATAAAAGGGAGGAGTTTGGAAACCATTTGTGAAATTGCCTGCGTAACGGATATAGTGATCTCCTGGTTATAGTGAACCGAAATTTCGGTCCCTTGAAGGTTCACTATAGCGGAGTTTGACTGTACTATTAAAGAAAGGATATATAATTTATAATCAAAAATGGATTTAGATCATAACAATTTTATAATATATAATCCTTTTCAAAACTAAGTAAAAAGGAATAAGTCATTCAACCTTACTGAATATTCAGTGACCTGGATTGTTTGCATTCAATAAATTGCAACACTATGAATTTTAAAAATAAAAATAATTTTTACTGTTTCTTACACTAGTCCAACTTATTCTAGTTTATGCCAGGAAATTTAATTTTCAAATTATGGTAAAAATTCTTTCTTAAATGAAAAAAAAAATTATAATTTCAATACCTCAAGATTGAAATAGGGATCATAGTAAATTTGTTCAGAATTCAGATTATCTAGAACAGTTCTAAAAAATAATGTTCTTAGCCAGGCACCAGTTTAAAAAAAAAAAAAATGAGAATATAGGATAATAAAATATTAAAAGCAAGAAAAATTTAAAGTTATTTGTATGAATATGCTTACATAGTTAATGCACCTATTAATTAAATTATTAGATTTCAATTGCACTCAAAGAAAAGACTATTAATTAACAAGTTGAATAAAAATTCATGACAAAAAATTTGAAACTCCCCGAGATTTCCCAGTTCCTCCTGATGCGTTACAAACACTGGAAAATTAGAAATACTTCAGAAAATTTTAAAACTAATGATAGCTATGTTATTTTGCTGTATGAAGAAAAATACAAGTTAAAAAGTATTTTAACCCAGACAAAAGACTTAGCAAAACGTACAAATTATAATATACTCTACAAAGATAAGTCATTTAAAATGTTATTATAGCATAACAAAATTCATATCGTAGACAAATTTAATGCCAGTTCATTAAAAAATAAGGAATATGCATTACTCCAGAAATTAAAAAATAAGCTTTTCAGATTAAAAATTTACACAATTTAAAGCTACAGCGCTAAAAAATTCAATATTTTTTAACTTAAAATCTAGTGAGTGTTACAGTTAGAATTTCAAACTCTCCCTTAACAAAAGTGCAGCACTAAAGCCTAGGAAATATTCTCTGCATATAATTAATAGGTTAATTTAATTTCACACAAAAAAGTAAACCCATAATATGCTTGTTATGTGACCAATAATAATTAAAGTATATACAGGGCATCTGCTATATTTTAGATTTTCAAATTCATGATTTTCCATGACACATTCAAAGAATTTTCATGACTTAATGAAGTTACAATTTTCTCTGACAAAAAACACAAAAGTAAATTTAAAAAAGCATTATAATAACATTAATTGAAATGATAGGTATAACCAAAACTGATATACTATGCATCTTCATATTTATAGATTTTAAATTTCAAAACAGAGTAAAGAAAGAGTTGAAACAATAAAATAGCTGAAAAAAATATGAAAGCAAATAAATTTGTTTCTTAATCTCTGCAGAATTTTATTCTAAAGATACTTTTCTTGTTCATCGGAAAGGAAAGAATGACTCCCGATTTTTCTGTTTTCATTTTGAAATAAATAAAGTTTGCCAATGACTGGTTTACTTCAGCTAGAATTTTAAATTAATTAAAAATAATAAAAATTCTTAAATCACAGAAGTTTAAAAGATAATTCGATCTAGAAATGTTTTTTCTTTAATTTTTTTAAAAAACACCGTTTTTAAAGAACATAAGAATATTTTATATTCTAATAAAATATGACTGTGAGTGATGATTTTGTTAAGAATTCAGATATTCGGAACAAGATGAAATTGGGGAGGGGGGGTTCCCTTTTAAAAATTAGGATTTTTTGGCAATCTAAATCCATGATTTTCCAGGATTTTTTTTTAAAAAAAATAGTTAAAATCATGACAAATTTTGTTCAATATTGAAATTCATGACTTTCCAGGTGCGTGGATACCCTGTATATAATTTTAAATGTTTTCACCAGCAATAAGAAACATTCAACTACGCAAAAATCAAACTTTATTAAAATTTATTATATCGATAGCTTACATGTCATACATGCAAGAGTTACAAATAAAAATTGCTACCTCTTTGTTCATATTAAGTTCCAAGTCTTAAGCAACATTCCAAAATATACATGTTTAATAAATAAGCTAATAACTTATTACAATTTAGCTGAGTTGGTCTAAGAAATATAGGGATCATTCTGGAATAGCAACAAAAAATTTCATTACAATCAAGACCATAAATATATTAACAATTCTTGACAGACGGAGGTTAATGTCCTTTCATAGTAACTACAGAAATTCTGTAAAGTTGGCATACATGTAATTTGCAACATTTCATAGAACAAGGAAGCATTCTGAATAAATTTACTTAAAACCTAATATTTAAAATGGGAAGGCTATCTCAAATTTAATTTTACTCTCATTTTTGGAATGTATGTATACAGCACAAGTTTTAATAAAAATAAATGCCAACTATGAACAAATAAAGTAAAAAATTAAGGCTAGAAAAGAATTTGGAATCTTATTATTAAATAAGTTAAGTCATATACATTTTAAACTGCTCTTTAATTACAATTAATACACATGATTAAAAATATTTCACAAAACATAAAGAACTCCACATTTTAGGTGTAGCAAAAAGATTCTAAGGCAAATTTAGAAACCATGTATTTTAAGCTGTTCAGGTTTGGCAATGCCAACCTTTGTTAGAAACTGACAAATATTATTTCTTTGATCTCCTTGAAGTTGAATTACCTCTCCATACTCAGAATGTTCCACAACAGTTCCATTGCAAGCAAATTCCTACAACAAAATATAATTTTAATACTGAATGCTTAAGTAAAAGAATCAAAGTAGCCACAAAATAACAATAAGATGCAGATTAGAAAAAGCTATTAAACAAAAAAATATTTTATTTAAAACATTGTGCAACAATCACTCTAGATTTGAATAACAAAAAGCATTTTTGTAAAAAAAATATTTTAAGTGAGTTTTCACGAAAGAGGGGGAAAAAAGTTTATTTTTTGCATGTGAACTAAAACTTGTAAAAAGCAGTTAGATTTGTGAATGTTATTTATAAGACCACACTTAGAAGAAAGTCAGAAAACTATAACTAAGGTCAAAAATAAATTAAAATAAGGCCAGTTTTATATTGCTCGGCCTGAACAGTTGTAAATTCATTGTAGTCAAATATATCTGAAAATAACTACTCGCAAAGTCAACAAAAAAGGTGGAAACTTAAATAAGCCACAAGCCACTTTCTGGTTTTAATTTATTTTTTTATTGTGCATTGAATTTTACGTGCACGAATTGTCAGTAGGCTTAATTACATTTTGTCACATATTTATAGTATTTTTATTGTAGATTTAACTTCTCTAAAATAATTTCAAGACAGAACTTACTTTTTGAACAATTAATATATTCAAGCCTTGTGTACCGGAACTTTTAGAAATTTATAGCTAACTGAAACCGAAATTTACTTTTTCTTGAGAATAGCCAACACATTAAATTAATCATTTGGATATTTTTGCTAAAAAATATTTTATTTAACAGGGGGCAACAATAGACAAATAATAGCTAATCTTGTATATCTTTTTACACCCAGTATCACTGAACAACCAATTTTTTCCCGAAACCATTCAGCTTTACTTTTTACTTCAGAATTTATTTTTTATTCTAGCAGTATAATTTTTCTTTTTTATAATCTTGATTTAACTTTGGCCGGTATACCAATAGGTTGGGGGGAGGAAAGAAGGCAAACTCCAGCAGATTTAGATTCAGCAATAGTAAATTTTATTTACACAAGCAAATGTTGAGTTAAAATTAATCCCAATTGCCAGGACTTTAAGAATAAGATTTAGTTAGGTTGGTAAGAAGAAGATAAATAAAAGTCCTGACACCGTTCTTTCATTGTAGTATGACATCATTACTAGATATTTTTGCAATACCTACATGTGAAATAGAGTAGGTATCCCGATCCCGAACGGTTGTTGAAATGTGGCATTTGTTTACCTTAGCAATTGTTCTTTCCATACTATATCAAGTACGTTAAAGTATCAAATCTCTTAAGTGACACATTCTATACTCTTTTATAAAAATTTCAATTCTTTCACTATACATCAACACAAAGACAGGCAAGAAGCCAAGTAAAACATAAACAAACTAATTATGCATCTAAGTTACCAGGAACACAAAACAAATAAATATCACAGTTACAATAAACTATATAAACAAATAATAAATCTAAGTTAAGTGAAAGATGTAGACGAGAAAGAATTATATTTCAACAAATTCCACCAGCAATACAAAGCTGTATATAATTAACTTCAAATTAAATACTTTCTAATCTATATGGAGAAACCTGGCGTAACTTTAACATGCCATTTTGCTTATAAATGACCAACTGGTGCTGACATCATAGGCCACAAGTGTGGGTTTCAGTGATATTCTTTATGTGCAAGTATCCATTTGTAAAAAATAACAATGTTTACATTAAAATGCATACCTGTCAACTTTTAATCCTTTCGAGGATGATTTTCACAAGTGGTAGTAAAATGGAATTTAAATCACAATTTTAGGCAGAAACATACGCTGCATTTTGAAAAAGCTGTGGACTGTCACAACAGTATTACATATTAATATATGTGATTAATATTTTTCATAATAGTGGTGGTCAAAAAGATTATAAATTAAGTTTATAAAATGTAAGGAATATATAGAAAGCATATATTTTACTACAACTTTAAATATAAATAAAATTATACTCCAAATGAGAAAAGTTGGTAGGTATGAAAATGTAATTTCTTTTCATTTTTAACAAAAATATTTTTAATTTCATGGTGAAAAATAAAGAAAATTTAATTTATCTAGTTCATTGATTTTTCTGAAGACTTATTTCAGTCTGAAGTACTAAAGAGCTATGTTGGCCACTATTCCATTAGATTTGTGGAAAAAGTGGCTAGTAAGTTATTAGTCTACGGGCATTGGCTGCAAACTGAAAATTTAAATTTTCAGGTCCATAATGGAACAAAATATCAAAAGGAGATTCTTTTTTTTTTTTCAAATATATTTCATGCATTTGAGAATCTGTTGCAGCGGCTGCCCCCTGAAGAAATAGTTACAGGATTTATAAATCCACAAACTTTAAACTGAATAATGTACCTATTACTTCCAGTACTAGGCTAGTAAAAAATGATTTAAGTGCAAAAGTATAATAAAATAATGTTAAAAAAAAAATAAATATATAAATCAATTTGTCATCACTTTTTAATGCGCTAAAATTCCACATGGTTTTAAAAGACCCAATATTTTTAATATGATATTACAATACATGAATTTTGAATTTGAGCAGTAGTTTTTGCAGATTTCATCATAAATCCAAGTGACATTTCCATCGTTTTTTGGCATTTATTATTACCGAATTCCAAATAATATTTAAGATTCCAATATATTAATTATGATTTGTGAATTAGAAATCACACATCTAATTTTTAATAGGGGAGAGTGGCTTACCTTGGGACACAGTACACCTTGGGACATTTTTATTCTCTGCCTTAAATTTTAAATGATATTTTAGTTTTTTAGATTCAGATAAATGTCAGCATCACCTAACCTTGGAACATATTTTGATTCTATTGATTAAGCAGGTAAGAATTTATTAAGATTTCTATTTTTGAAGCATGTTTGTTTACTTTTATATAAAAGTTTAATTAGGTGTAGAAAGAAATTTTAATGAAATTATTTTCAATAAGGGATAATATAATGAAGTATAAAGCTTTCCCTTTAGAAATTATCAAATTTAATTGTCCTAATGCTAAGCCTAAAAGTATGACAGTTTAAAATTTCATATTAAGTATATAGTGCACCTTGGGACAAATGGAGGTGGCCCACCTTGGGACCTTATTAAAAATAGATTTTCAACAAAAAGATGTTGTGCATGCAAAATATTTTTCAATTGATATAATCTGTGTTTATTAATAGTTATTATTTCAGGAACTAATTAGACTTAACTAATAACAAGTATTAAAAGCAAAAAGTAATGCAGCAGTTCATACTAACAATGTTGAAAAAGCTGCTGCAAGTTTTATCAGGGGAAATGACTCGTAGGAAAGCTGCTGAATTCTACAGTATTACTAAGATCACTGAACCGGTATATTATTTCCTTACAAAGAAAAAGAGAGCAGACAAATTCTAACTTCAAATATACAGAATCACAAAATATTCACAGAAAAGGAAGAAATAAATTTGGTAGACTATATGTTACAAGCCTCCAAGTACCACCAGGATTGACAATATGTGATGCATCTGCACTTACAAACGTATACAGATACTCTTAAAAGATGCTATTAAGAATAAAAAGTACTCTCAGGGAAAACAAAAGCTATGCATGAATAGAAAAGGCTACTTTAATATCACTATTTTTAGGGAAAATTTTCTAACTCTTTGAAAACTACATTTTCGCATTGAAATGAAAATTTATATAAAATTTAAAAACTTAGTACAATTTAGGCATCAAATGCAATACAAGAGGAATGAAATCCAGCTTTTAAAAATCACGACTTTGATATTTCTTAAGATGTTAATTCTTTTAAACTTATTTTTTTCCCCTCCTTTTTAAAAGAATTACTTAAAATATTAATAAAATAAGGATTAAATAAGGAATTGCGAAGCCACTTAAACTTGATTTTCCGAAAATTCAGTAAACAAATCATTGCTTACACTATAAACAATTTGAAGCACATCCACAGACATAGCAGAGGTAATTCAGAAAAATTAGAAACATTAAAAGGGGGTGCAACATTAGGAGATGTGTTAGAAAAGAAAAATGACTGACAGAAAAATTTCTAGAGCTTAAATTCAAGAGTAGATGCAAAAATGGTTACAATTATTTAAATAAAAATACCATTATATATGAATATAGATTTAAATAAAAAATACCATCGTATATGAATACAGATAGTTCGTTGGAGATTTATTAGTTACCTTTTTACAGGCTTTTACAATCTTTTTCTTGTCGTAATCATCAGAGATGCCTTGCACAGTAGTTAAAGTTTTACGTCCGTTCCGCTGCTGGATTCTAACGTGAATTAGTTTGTCTTGACCACCTTGCTCATCAGCCCGGATTGCATCAGCAAACGGATCTACATATTTAAAAGAAAAAATTTAAGATAATATTTCAATGAAAAGGTAATGGATGACAGAACACAATGAAGCAAACACATTTTGCAATAAAACATTGGACTGAAATACGGTTTTGCCAAATTGGGCCTATTTTTTTTGTTTTTATTTACAAGATGAGTTTTCATTTTTTCAACTTGGCAATTATTAAAGAAATTTGCTCTTTAAAATTATGAACTGATCGTTTTATAAATTTATCTAACAACAAAAATATATGAAGTAAAAGATGCTTAGCCTGTTTTCAAAAACAAGTATATAAAAGAAATTTTGTGCAATATATTTACTTTTCCCACATATAATTCAGTTGGACTTTAACTATTTCAGGATTTATTAAAATATTTAAACAGATATATATCCGTATCATGATATATATTATATTATATTCAAAATTTACTTTAAAATAAATATCATGATATCTGATTAATTGACAAAGTAACCAAAATAGACTTTTCAATTAAACGAAAATATTCTAAATTTAATTTAAGATTTCATTATAGATGGAAAGTTATTCTATCTTTACTGTTTAAATATGAAATTTTAATTGATGAATTCCTTGTTCAGAAAAAAAAAATATCAATTTAAAATATCAATAGAAAGGCAAAACACATTTCATCTTATTAGTTAAAATTTATTGAGAGCAATGCAGTATATAGAGCAATTATTTTAAGCTTTCAAATTAAACTTTATAAATTCTTCATTGTTAATAATATTGGAAGACAAAAAATTGGAAATACAGATCATCTAAAGAATTGAGAGATTTCAAATTATCCTTTGGAGGTATAGTAAATATGGATATCCCAGAGTAGATTATTGCACCACTATCAGCTTAAATTGAAAGTTGTGACAGCCATTTGCAAGACGGAGTCAATGAATTATTATTATATACATATTTAGGTGTAAGTAAATTTGATAAATATAAACATTACTACAAAAAATATCCAAAACTTTACAATGCAGCACAGGGATGGAAATATGAAACTTTTCAAATGTATTCACATTACATTATCCTCTTAGTTCTACATGCTTATCGTGACAGATCAGGATATGGAAACATTCTCTATGTTATTTATATGTCATATCTATTTCGTTCCCGCAGAAATTCTTAAATAGCATAATCTTTAAAAAAAATTTGCTTGTTAATAAGTCCCCTACTGATTACAAATTTTATATTAAGTAAACTTACCACATTTTTAATCTTTTTATTAAAGAATTGTTCAACGTATTCAAACATACTGCAAAAAATAAAAGGATTTTAAGAAAATATTGTACTACTAAAAAGTGAGAGTTATGTAACAGAGTATAACTTCTATACGATATTACACTCCTGAATGTTCACGACTCGAAGTCTTCGTTAAATCGAGGAAATATGAACTCGAACACAATTTCAAATTTTAATACCATGCTCTTCATCATATAAATTTACATTCATTTATTATTAATTTCAACGAACTTTGAAGTTGACTACACCTAAAAGACCTAAACAGAAATCATATATACCAATTAATGAAGTAATAAAACTGTGCTAAAAAGAACATTTACATCTGAAAATGTTTAACAATAATAAATATCGACAATAGCGTGGGGTTCATAAGCCATTACGCAGTTAGATACAATCGAGAGTTCATGACCTAAATTGAACTCGGGAAGAGCATAAAGCAATTCCAACATGCATGAATTTAAAATTTATATAGATTTCATAAAAGATTACTTATTTAATTTTATAAAAATTAATTATTAATCAGTTTAATCACAAAACAAAGAAAATTAGTCAAGGTCGTTAATATAATATACTCACCAAAAGTGTTTAAATTCTGAATACCGGTAGACATAGATTTTCTGGTGTTCTGCACAAATGCTAAGCTGACTTTTGTAGCAAATAGTTCTTCTACCTTTCCTTTTTAACAATAAATTTAATTAATTATAATAAAAACAAAGATGAAGGTACAATTTAAGTTACACGAAATGGTTGAGTTGTTTCTATGAAAGAGAGTGGTAATATAAGCGCAGAATAAATGCGCAGAAGCAGATAAATTTTCTCTCACGGTCCTGTGAACAATGATAGAGTTGGAGCACAAAATGTCAACAAAAAAAATCGCAACACCCAATACGCAGTTGAATGCTGCAGCGAAAACTTAAGTAAAAGTTCCCATTCTGAATTTCAAGTTTTTGTTTTAGATTTCCTTGAACTACAGGTTTTAAAACTGCTAAAAAAGTGTTCCTTTTCACTTTAATGAGAGTCACCTATGACATTTCGCATTATTAAGAGTGGACTCATTTCCAGCGATTTTCTCGCATGCAGAAAAATCGCATCTGAATGAGAACCTGATAACCGAGTTTTTCTCCGGTAAATATTTTTCACTAATCCAGTTCTCATTCTCAAATTCAAGCCCAATGACTTGCGTGCAAAGTCCAGCACTTTATGGTAGAACAGTTTAACAATGAACGATACCACGCACCCTCGGTCCCTACGTAGATTGATCAAAGCGGTCGCACTCCCGCTTACTGACCACAACCAGTGAAGTTTGACTTCAACGTTCTACTGGAAAAACCCTTTCTTTATAATCAGTCTACTGTGCGAATTTTAATATAGTTTAAATTCAATTAAATACCAAATTTACAAGATTAATAGATCAAGGGACTAAAATTGATAGATGGATACATTCACATACGGCATTCGTAATCTAAAAATAACTAAACTCAGTGGCGCGACAGCCCAAAGAGGGCCAAGGCCTACTGTGCTCATCTCAATTTTCTTGAGCTTGGGCTGTGGGGTGCAGAAGCAGGTGTTCCGGTATGGTGGTCAGCCGAACGCGAAATCCCCAGTGTTTAGTTCCCAAGCATGCTTGGTACTCATTTATCGACCCAGAGGGGATGAAAGGCTGAGTCAACCTTGCCCGGTCCGAGAATCGAACTCAGGATCTGTGGCACGGGAGTGCGAAGCGCTACCACTCAGCCACCAGGTGTCAATCTAAATGTAAGCCTATAAAATAAAATAAAGGTAATTTTTTTTATTTGAGGGAGAACAACAAATACATTGGAATCCCGGTTTTACATTGTCCTTTTTGTACGTTATCCTGCTCCCTACGTCATTTCTGCTTGTCCGTTAAAATCATCTATAGTCGTAGGTTAAAATATTCCATTTTATGCATTTTTTTAACAGATCAAAATCATTTTTTTTTTCTACGAAGCTAGCATAAAATTTATCTGATTTTTTCTTCTTTTTCTTTTATTATGCTTATTAGCTGCTTGTAGGTTTTCCAACAAAATTTCAACTTTGAATCTTGGAATCATCCAATCATTTAAAGAACTCTATATCAGGCAACAGGTTCTGAAATAATTAATTTTTCTTGATTTCGGTGACATCAAGATGCTTCTGAAGTGAAAGCTCTGAGAATAATTTGTACAGCAGTGGATAGTGTCAACTAAAATGTATTACAATAAAATTTCGATGAGTTAACTGCCTCTCAGTATCCAACGGGAGCAATGGTACTCCGGAATAAAATTGCACATCTTAAGATCGCCCGAATTCGATCGAGATATCGACCGTGTATATCGGTTTCCGTGTCGCAGATAGCTTTTGGCAACAATGATGACATATGATATTGCGCATTTACAGAGCTTGTGTCAAACATATATATCATTTAAACTTTAAACACGTGATCTGTTAAAACATTTCGAACAAAAAAATAATAATATTGATCCAGTTATCTCAGAAAATGCGATGACGTATCGTTAGTAGTTTGGAAAATTGATCAGTCCCACTTGTTAATATTGAATTATTGTCCATAATGATAGAAACCCATTTTCCGAAGTCGGATTCGTTCCACTCTATCTGGCAACCAAGCAAGCAGAATGTAAATTTCTCATGCTTAGGCCCCTGCTCCCAATCTAAATAAGATCCTACTTTATTATCCATGCTCCTGTATATATTTTCAACCACAGTGCGGGTGGTAGGATGGTGTTAAAAGTCAAAGATGCTTTAAAATATATCTATTAGTCAGTATAGGATGCATTTTATTACTCTCTCCAGGGTAGGGCAAATGAATGGCAATTATTTTATTCTAAACACTTGTTTTATTTTTCTATGCTGTGCTCTTCTTCTTTTTTGTATCTCAGTTATAAAAAAAAAAAAATTATAAATTAAAAGTTGTCATATGTAGAAAAAATTGAAGCAAAATAGAAGTATTTTTGTCGGGGAGAAAAGTTTTATATTTCAATTTGGAAAATAGCTACTAAATTGAAAAAAAAAAGAAAGGAATTCTTTTTCTGAAATTACCAATTCTATTTCACTTTATTGTAACGGATGTCAAAGTTTCAGAAGGGGTGGCGTACAATATCTTCCCTCTCAATTAAATTTCAAAGGAAAATAAAGCTTTCTATTTGGAAAATGGCTTTAAAATTGAAAATAAGAGCCAAATAATAATTTTACTTGACTTTATTTTCGCGAATGACTGAATTTTGGAAGGGATGAAGTATATTCTTCTCCCCATCACTTTAATTTAAGAGGAAAATGAAAAAAAAATTGGAAAATAGCTTCAAAGTTTTCTTTCCTTCTTTTTTTTTTAAATAACCAATTTCAATGATCTTTATTATTGCAAATGTCTAAATTTCAGAAGGTAAAAAACACATTTTTGCCCCCCTTACTTTAATATCAGAAGAAAATAAAGTTTTCTAACCCCTCACTATAATTTAAGAGGAAAATGAAGTTTTCTATTTGAAAAATAGCGTCGAAGTTTTAAAAATATGCAACTCTTTTCTTTTCTGAAATTTCCAACTTTACTGTTTTTTATTTTAATTTTATTAATGTCAAAATTTCAGAAAATGTGAAACAGAATTTTCGCCCCCTCAACACTTTTATTTCAGAGGAAAACAAAGTTTTCTATTTGGAAAATAGAGTCAAAGATGAAATTTTCTTAACTACCTATTTTTCTTGACTTTATTTTTGCGCACGTTGAAATTTTAGCAGGGGCGAAACACTTTGTTTACTCCCTCCGCATTACTTTACGCTTTGTACCGCATTACTACTTCGGAAGAAAATAAAGTTTTCTACCCGGAAAATAAAGTGAAAATTCGGGAATGAAATATTTTTTCTACTTTTACTTTACTTTTCCAAATGTCAAAAAGCACATTATTCGCCCATTTAGTTTAATTTCAGAACAAAATACAGTTTCCTACTCGGTGTATAACTTCAAAGTTGAAAAATAATAGCTTTTTTTTCTTTCTAAAAACACCGATTTTACTTGATTTTGTCTTGCTGAATGACTAAATATCAGAAGGGGCAAAGCACATTGTTCAACCCCCCACTTAAATTTTAAAGGAATATAAAGTTTTCTATTTGAAAAATAGCTTCAAAATTGAATTTTTTCTTTTTAAATTACTGATTTTACTTGACTTCAGGGTCACGTGTTTGTCAAGTGTTGTTTTTTTGTAAGTGTCTACATTTCATGGGGGAAACACATTGTTTGCCCCATCACTTAAATTTTAGAGGGGCCCTCTGCCCCCCGGTAGACATGCCACTGGGACTGACGCTAGATAGTAGAGGAAACTACTATACTAAGTAAGACAGAAATACAATATGGATGGCGTTTTCAATATAAATGTAAACAATAACAATCTCAAGCTTCCAACCTGCTCTAGATCCGGCTAGAAAGTTGCTTACTACAGTTTGTTCTGCGAGGCGATATTTTCAAACGGATAATTTTGCTTTCAATAAAAGAAATAAATTAGATACTTTCTGAGATCAAATATGCCTTATTACATAAGATATTAAAGTTATTAAGTAATTCTGGTGAGTTTGAAGTGAAAAGTTGGTTTAGTTATTTATAGATATATTGTTAAAAAAGGTGACATGGTTGCTAGATTTTGAAAAACTTGCTTGTTTGGCAGTCCTGATTTGGCCTCTTTCCATTTGTTTATTACTGTTTGTCCTTGTTGCAAGCTGTGCACCATCTTACGTTAGCATAATGTTCGAGTAGCAAGTTTAAGTTTATAAATTATAATTCAGGTTTAAATTTTAAAGTTGGCATATATTATTGACAAGGTAAGAAGTATTTTATAGCGATTCCTTCTTCGAATGTTAGGTTTACATATTTATTATTGAGCAAACCACGTGATACCTCTACTTAACACTACTATTTCACAATTAATATTAAAATTATATACCCTATATAATTTTAAAATCGATGAAATGATATAAGCGTACTGTCTCTTCACTATTTTTCTTATTATATAACATCTTTATTAGTTATTGCATGTGGTATTTAGACTTAGTATTCATTGTAAACAAAAGTAATAAATTAACAAATACAACGTTTGCAAGAACTACTATTCAAAAGAATCTCAAAACACAATGAACACGTTCTGAACTAAATGGCTTCAAAATACACCAGAAACAGCAACCCGGAAGTATAGGCGGTAAAGAACCAGCAGCGCTTCCTAGTGTAGTGTTAACAATCAACTACATGCAGTTGCGGCCTTAACCGCTCTCTGCGAAGCGTGTGTTTGTTCCTTTGAGAAAGGGAAATAATTCTTGGAAAAAGTCCTTCTAGCTAAGTAGGCTCACATGTTAGGAATATTTTTAACAAGCAATATTTTTTACAATAAAGCTTAAAAAACTTCTCAGCAGTTTGTCTTACATGTAGTTTTTAAACATTCGCACGTGCATTCAGCTTGAATGCTCCTTTATGGGACATTCTCACTGAATGTGGTTCGAGAGAGAATGAAAACCTGATTCGGGAAAAAAATTTTACCACGAACTTTTCACATAAATTGACCGACATTTTTTCTTTCTTGCTTTCAAATTGAGCTAACATTTGAGGTTTGGTCATGAAAATTTCGCCTTTTAAATAATCCTTATTAGTTAGGGAATCATCTACTAAGTAATCAAAAGATTAGTTAGCAGTAGTATCGGTTTTATTAAAATACTAAGAGGTCCGGCATCAGTTCGCTACCTCTTACCAACTCCTATGACTGTTTTAGTCCCGCAGTGGACTGATCGTTAAGACACGGTTCCCAGCAGATCACCGAAGTCAAGCATCACTGACTACGGTCAGTGTGCGGGTGGGTGATCACTTGAATCAGTCTGCGTAGGGACCGAGGGTGTGCGGTATTGGTCCTCGTTAAACTGTGCTACCGTAAAGTGCTCGACTTCGCGCGCAGGCCGTCGGGCTACCGAAGTGGGGGTGCCATCCCCTCCACAGAGGATCAAAATTGTGATGGCATGTCTTCGGATCATCCTCCGGGATGTTTCCCAGACCGTCGCCAATAGCCCATTGTGCAGCTCTAGTGCGACGTAAATTAACAACAACAACAACCTATGATTGTTTTTCAATAATTTTTGTTTCTTGACAAGAAAGCTATTTTTTTCCCAGCTTCAAAAGTTAAAATTATTCACGTATGTATTAAAAGTAATTCTGTTTGCTCACTTCCAAACAATTATCTTACTTTGTGAAGCATAATCATGGATCAGTCAACGAAGGGACCAAGGATGTGTGGTGTTGGTTCTCGTTAAACTGCTCTATCGCAAAATGCTAGACTTCTCGCGCAGGTCGTCGGGCATCCCCTCTGCAGAGGATCAAAATTATGATGGCATGTCTTCGGATTATCCTCAGGGATGTTTCCCAGACCGTCGCCAATAGCCAACTGTGCAGCTCTAGTGAAACGTAAATAATAAGCTTGTAATCACTTTATTTAAATAACATACAATTCACGATGGCAACGCTCGAATACGCCACCTGGGGAGAAGACCGGCCCCATGTCTTGACCCCTCTTATCTTTTCCCCTTCTTAACATTTTTCGTATTTATTTGCCAAAAATATTTCTTAAAATTTCCACAATGCTTTCGTTTAGAACTATGTTCAATGTAGCTTTGAGTTTCATATGTTACCTAACTTAAAATTTTTTTAATCTATTTGAAAATCCAGACAGAAACTAACGTACTTCCTTCTCCTGACTCTCCACCGCTATTGGTAAAAGCTTGCGAAGTTTTGCAGCAGGGAAAGAGTTCTGCTCTATGCCACCTGTAGCCCATTTCAATCTCAAATAGTTTAGCTTTTTTCAGTTACCTTTGCTTTCTAGAGTTCTACTTTATTTTTAGTTGCCATAAAAACTCGTTAAATATTTTTTACCAAAGTTAGTATTTAGTAACATTGCGAAAAATTATTTCCTAATTATATTTCACAACTTTTTATTTAGTATTTTTAGTGTGTATATTAGGGAGCAGAGAATTTTTTTTTTTTTTTTTAATATTTCAAGAATTAATAATGAGTGACTAATCAGTTTCAGATTAAATAAATTTCTTTTTCTTTAGAATTTTTAAAATATATCATAAGAGTCAATCATCATTGCATCAAAATGTCCTGCAATTCAGAATTTTTCGATATTACTGATAACATTTACCTAATTAAATGAGCGTTAGTTACAAGATAAATTGAGAAAAACAGTTAATTTAAAATGTTATTCAAGAGTTGAAAACACTTTGAATTTAATATGAAGGTATTTGTAGGCTCCACTTCTTTTTGCACTAAAATGCCATATGGACTATAATAGACTCAATAAATAATATGGAAATACACAATTTTTTAATTGGTTCACATTTTGATGTAACAAAGGACCTTCATAATTTATTTCTAAAATTTTATAGTTTTCCTTTTTAATATTAAACAATTATTTATCTTTCACATTAATTACAATCACGATTCTTGTTAAAAATTTATTTCTAGTAATAAATATTCAAAAGTTTCAGTTCAAGGAGAAATAGCGTATAATCTATTTAACAAATTTACGAAAAAAACCAACACGCTACTTAATAATTCACAATGTTAGGGGCCCTGTATCATATAAGAGAAAAACAAACGCTAATTCCTTGCAGAAGCCCCCCCCCCCAAAAAAAAAAAAACTGATATGCCATTGATAAGAATTAAACAATCAGAAATATAAAAGTAAAACTTCTTGAAAAAAAAAAATCCTAGCTGCTCCATATGAATTAATAAAAGATTAAATTAATGGGAAAATTTTATAATTTAGGAATTCGAAAATAACGTATGGTAGAAGAAAAGGGAAACTATTTTTTAGACAATAATAAATGTCGCAACATTAGACAAAAATTATAGTACTAGTATTGGTAATATAAAAAAAAAAAAAAGACTAATTGTGTATAAAAAACTATACACACATTTCTGAGATTGGAATGTACACTATAGATAGTTGATTCACAAGCCGACTAGCTTGTGTAAGGGTCAGGGATTTGGAAGGTTTTGGGTTCGAATCCCGGGCAAGGCATGGATGTTCTTTCATTTTCTGTACTATCTGTCCTTCAAATGCCTGTATGACGTAGGTCATTCTCCAGCCGGACATAGGGGAAAAAAAAAAAGTTGATTCACAGGAAAATGCAGTTCCTCCCTAATTTTATCAAAATAAATTGAAATATTAAAAAACTACAAAATATATCCTTAATTTTCAGTTCTTTAAAGAAAGAGACCAGACAATAAATATTTCAAGAAGCTATTCCAGCATTGTCCAATGTTCGCTTAGTTTCGCGATGTTAGTAAATGCAGATTTAGCTTGGAACTTTTTGAAAAAAATGAGATTTTATAAGCGTCTTTTCTTCCCCACCAGAGAAATATCTATATGACGATATTCAATATTTACTATATAGATACACCTATTAATAGTAATGTATGAACATTGACTAGCAACTACTCAGGATCTGCAGAAACTTAATAATTAATGCCAAAAATCCCCCTTTGAAACAGAAAATAACGCCATCGTACGCACATCTACATTGAGATGTGCGTGATTCGCTTTTCCTTTCATATTACAAAATTTGAAGTAAATCATAATCAAAATCTATGTGGGTGTCCGAGGTTTTACGACGCTTCTCAAAAATTTTCCGGCTTTCATTATTGTCGAAAATGAGTGGGGTTGTTTTTGCCCCCATAAGGGTTTCAGGGATTTACATTTTTAGGAAAATTAACATGAAAGAGCACAAAAATTAAATAAGACCTTAAATGATTAGACTTAACCCACACGTTTATTTTTCTTAAGATAACAATAAACTACGTGTAACAAACCTGCGTCAGTTCACAGTTGATTAGTTTAATGTTTTATCCAACCAGTAGAAAAATTATGATCTACATATAAACAAACCTATCTAAGGTGTAAAAAACAAAAATTGACACTATTTAAAACATTGAGATAATATTGTAACAATGAAAGGTTTCAATACCTTTCATACTTATAATGGGTTCATTTAATTGTTTTTCCAAGTAGAAAATATACTTATATGGAAATTTTTAAGTAAGATTATTATGAAAGTTTTATGCTATATGAAAAAAAATGTGCAATAAAAATATTTGTAGAATAGTTATGTAATAATTCATATTGTTAAAATTTAGTAAATAGCTAAAAAAAACTAATTTTTAAGATATTAAATTTTAGGATTTCATATTCTTCACAAATTTTAGATAAAAATTATTTAACTAAAGTTTGGATGTTTCTTAAAGTAGGAAGTAATACCGGTTGTTTCTTCTAAATAGGTTTCACAATTTAAGGAAGTTCATAGTTACTTCACATCACGATGCATTTGAACAAGAATGATATCTTAACAATTCTTTTGTTTAATGGCACTGCCTAGCCTCTTAGTAGCTTCAGTAAATAAATTATCTGCTTTCTTCCCTTTTTTTTTACCCCAATAGTAGTACTCTGACTTTACGTCACAACCTGGTCCGATTTTTCTTTCTATATCAGTAATGTAAAAAAAAAATCCTGGTGTTTAGAGCGTCCTGATTATCAATTGCAATTCTGGTCCCTTTCAGTAGCATACCTGTCTACAAGATGACAACTTGTCTTCTGAAATGAAATAGTTCTCTCTGAACTTTATTTTAAGGGGAGGAAAACGATGAAAACAAATTATGTGAATGATTACTTCCCCGTTGCGTAACCCTGCTATTTGTTTGCAGTTTGATATTTTTTCCAGTATCTTAAACATCAGTTTAATTAAATCATAGAATTCGTTAATTCCAAGTAAAAAAGATCTTTAAAAATTACTTTTACTTCTATAAACCTATTACTAAATTGAAAACCAGGAATGCGAACATAGAATTTTAAGTATAGAAATTTATATAACTTAATCCAAACTTATTATATAGCATTTTTATATTTTCAATTGTGAAAGTAAAATATACCGAAAATATTGCTTTTCACAAGTTATAACTTATATATAATGATTATACGATTTAAGTGTGCTGATGACTGTGAAAAAACACAATTATGTCCCCTGTGTCAATTTCTAGAACACAACAAGGTTATGAACAAATAAAAACACACAACAGAAATCCGATAATATTTATTTAGTTATTCAGGTATTTCTTTGAAGAATTTTATATATATATTTCCTATTCAATCAGTCAAATATGGATAAATTCACACTTTATCATTATTGATGAATAAGTACGCAATAAGAAAGAATTCTGTACAGCCAAGTTAAAAACCTAACACAACAAATAAAAATACAGCCGATTTATTCAGTAATGTCTCCTAAAACAGCTATGTCAAACATGTAAGGAGATAACATTTAAATTAGGAATATTAAAAAAAAAGATTAAATTTTGGAACAATTTAAATATTATCTTTTCTTTTACACCCAATGTTAGCTGTGGATTTGTTATCTCTGCAAACCAAACTAATGAAACTGTATTCTAAATTTGTAATATGCAAAGCAAATAATGTTGAATTTTGATATGAAATTATGACAGTCTAGTTGGTGATAACACACTAAATAAACTATGTTATATTCAGCTAATATAATTTTAAGACAAAACATTGATAAACAAAAGTCACCCAATAAATTCGAATATGGCTGTGTATATAAAAATAACATAGAATAGGAAATATGTAAGTTTATGTCTTTATGGTTTTACTTTTTCTATTTTGTATCATGAAAACCTGAGGGCAACATACAGCCATTGGATTGAAACAAATAACTTTCCACATGGCATACAAGTTGAAGCATGCATCCGTAAGCTTTTAAGTTTATATTGCATAGATGTTTCATTGGATTCATGAAATGGTAAACTACTACAAAAAGGTGTTTCTCAAAATATTAAAATTCATTTTTAACAAAACACATTTCTTCCAAGTCCAGAGAAATTTAAAACAAATATGATATATTTAAAGCACAACATTGCTATGATCTTTTATTTTTGTCTCTTTCCCAAAGCTAGATGATTTGTCAGTCAATGTAGATACAAGCAGATTTGTGCAACACCATAAGCAGTGATTTACATTTAACAACGATTTATTTTTTTCTCTTCCGAGTAGCAAAATGCTATATTGCAGATACAATTGCTGCTTATTAGTCAGCTAACAATTTGCTTAACCCCTTCTTTGGTACTATAAATACACAAATGAGATTTGAGATTATGATCTTTGTTTTTCGTTTTAAAGCAACTAATGGTATAAACAGATTATTGTCCTTTTGAAGTAAAAAAATAATCAAATTTTCTTTTAGCTACAATAATGTCAATTACTGACAATGATGGGTTAGAAAAAGCACTGCATTACTATTGTTTATGATAATGCAGGTATAATCTCTTATATAGAGGAAACTGCTACGTTCATCTGCTGCGACTATCTGTCTCACTAGAATCCCTGCAGTGCAGAAGATAACACACTAGCAGCTATAATTTTTTTTTGTCATAAATCTTGCTATGGTTCATTATGTACAATACTGCTTTGTTACAGCTCAAGTAAAGCAATCAGAATAGCAGCATTTAGGTAATGGTGAGTTATCAATCAATATCTGAAACTTTTCTTTACATATTCGCACAATCACACAAATTCAATTTATGTTTTAATAAGTACATTAAAAGGGGAAGGGGATCCAGCAGGGAAAAAAAAAAACATGTGGACCCTCCACACTGCTGGAGTATAAATATTCACATAAAATGTTTCAAAATGAATGTCACACGAAAGTAAAAGGGAAAAAAGATCAGTTGAAAAAAAAAAAAAAAAAAAAAAAAACAACNAAACAAACTTGCAGTTATCAAGCTGTGAGACACCAAATAGCAAAAGATGGATGATAATTTAGTGAAAAAAAATTGATCCACACAATAGCTTAAGAACTGCAACTCAAACAGGGGGGAAAAATACTCAGAGCATACAATCATACAGAACCACAACCTACACAGTCCTTTTCATACAAGCAATTACAAGTTACACATGTATTTGAAGTTATTAATAATTCACAAAAGATATCCCCACACTTAATTAAGGCATATATTATCACATATGGGTCTCTATAACCCTAAGGGGGAAATAAGTTCGACAAAGTTTTACGAAAAAACGATAACAAATTTACACTTTATAAGTCTTCATTTGTTTGGCTTTCACATTTTTTGATTTCACATTATGCCGATGCAACAAATGCATAAATTTGGACTAGAAATCACAATACAAGAGTCAGCATGCGGCATATTTCAAAACAGCCACATGATTAATGCTTTAGTCCAGGATTACCCTCCCAATGTTTTTCTTCTTTCAATGAATAACACATGAGAGGAGTAAGTTAAATTTCCAAACCTGTCAACAAACAAAACAACTTTAAATAGATATGTGACAAATTAAATATTCCAAATAAATTTTAGATCCTACATTGGATACAGCATAACTATGTCCAAGTGGAGTACAGGTGTTTTAATTTTAGTGCAACAGCACCAATGATAAAGATGGAAGCTCCTTCCAATCAACTTAGTAACATAGGAAAACAAAAACTTTCTTTTTTCATAATTTAATTTTGCATTTGCGCATCATTTGCTACAGCACAGTGATAGATCTAGTTGTAAGTCCCAAGTGCTTAAATAATCTCATCAAGTATTGTTATGGAGGCACCTTGATAAGGAAAATAATTTCTCCCAATTCTCTATTTACAAATGCCTCACATTACTGATGGACTCTTTTTTGCTGGATTCTGATGGTAGCACCTAGACATTTTTTAAACTTTCATTTCAATCAAAACTCTTAAAAACTGAGCTTGTCAACATATCCAAATACAAAACTAAGAGCCAACAGTTGTGAAGCAATTTCTCACAGGAAGTTAATACAGCAAGCTAAACACTTCACTTGTGAGGAAACAGTTAATTTTCTGCCATTGAGTCAAAATAAATCACAATTTGTTTATTTATGCATGTCATGAGCCTTCATTATTATAGAAGGGTTGTATTGGCAGTTTTTATTGCCCAGTTGCTGGAAGAGATATGGCTCTGGCAGGTTTTCTTCGTTCTTTCCATTCTTTCGAACCCGGACGGGCTTCAACAATTCGTCCTCTGGGAAATTCTCTGAAAGGTCCACCTAAGAAAACAGAAAAATCCATTAAAACTGGTATATCACAAATACTTAAAATAAATCATATAATTCATTAATAAAGAGAGCAGATGATTTGAAAGAAAATAATAACAAAGTAATCAAGAACAGTATCAGTGGTGTTTCACTAATAATTTCTCTTTGTTTTTTTAAAAAAAAAAAAACTAACTATGAAATACTTTAAGTAAAAATAAAAACTTACGAGGTGCCGGTTGTCTATTCTGAGTGACTACATCCTGCTGCCTGTGTTGGCGTACCATGGCTTCTTGTCGTTCTTTTTCTTTAAGTTCTTGTGCAATTTTCTCTACCTTTTCTTTGGCACGCATAGCAACTTCAGAATAGGTTAATTTTCTGAAGGGTTTTTCATCCTATAAGAAAGCATTACAATATTTTAAAAGATATATTTTTACTTTATTTATGATTCGTGTATCCAATAGGCTAACACATAAGATGAACTGAAGTCAACTTTTAGAAGCTTTCAGGAATTTAATAAAAATATAATACAAATTTACTCTAATATGTTTGAATTAAATAAAAATACATACACATTTGTCGTCCAAGACTAACGAGCAATTGACATTGAGATATATATATATATATACACAAAACAAATACAAGAAGAAAGTTAAGAAAAACAATAAGTTTCATTTATTGTGGATAAGCTGCAAGTAAACAGAACTCATTAGATAAGTTCAAAATGAAGATAAAACAAAGGAAAATTATAGACATATGAAAAAAAAAGAAAAAAGGGGAAAATAACAATGGGGGAAAATCCGCAAAAAAGAGTGCTTTCTGATATTGTATCAATACAGTCAAAGCAAAACATTAATACAATAGTGTGAGGAGCACTCAAAAAAATTTTTATTTTACAAAAATTACAACAAATAAAACATAATAAGTACAAAAATGCTCCTCACACTATTGTATTAATATATTTTGCTTTAGCTACATTGATACCATATCAGAAAGCACTCTTTTTTGAAGATATAATCGTGTGGGCTGATGAAAAGATTATCTTTTATTTTCCAGTTTTTTTAAAAATTTCATCTTTTTTTTTTAATCAGTTGTTTATTTTTTTTCATTATTTCCCCCATTTTTTCATAGGTCTATAATTTTCCTTTGTTTTATATATATATACATATACATGTGTGTAGGTGCTAACATGGATAGGAAAATATTGATTTTAAGAAATACAAATTTCATAATTTTTGCATAATGTACTATATAATTTACACAAAGTGAATTTTAGGGATTTCAAAAAATAGAAAAATTGCAATATTTCCCAGTTATGCTTTAAACCCACTTGAAATGTTACACATTTAATTTGTCAAAGATAGTTTAAATACTCAAGCAATAATCCCTACAAAAATTCTATTTCTACAGGGATTATTTTAGGAAACTTAACTGAATTTTCTTAAATGTAGTAAAACCAGGAGAATTTTAATTAAACCAGTAGAAACTGGAAAAATCGAAAAGAGTTGGCAGCTATGTATATAACAGGGTGCATAGCCAAATTATTCAACAAAAAATAAGCACCTTTTAAGCACTAAAAAAATGGCATTGTGTAAAATTATGTAAAATGAATGGCGTTTCCATACGCTACTGACTGACAATACGCCGAAATAGATTGAATTAATTGGAAAACGTTGAATAGAACAATGTGAACTGTGGCTTTTTGCATTACTTGTAGCGAAAACCAACAAGGTAAAGGAAAAATCTCATTTTGAAAAAGGGAAAATTCAGCACTTTTTAAAAACACCCACTGAAAAAAAAAACACCTTTAAGATCTTTTAAAAAACGAAAATAAGCAGCTTTAAAAAATGCTATGCACCCCGTATAAGATTCATCTGTATGTAGTGTCTAAGGACATATTGCTTAAGATACAAACAATTTTAAAGGCATCTATTTTTCATATCCTAAACCCCATGACTTCTGACAGTCATGAGGAAAATTGTAATATACTTAAAATGGATTTGGAACACTAGTGATCAATTTCAAATCCAAGTTCTTAAATTTTTTTTTTAAGGCAGTATGAAACACAATCATTGATTACCATAGTACATACCAGATAATAAGTTTCATACAAAAAATCAATTTCATCAAACATATACAAGGAAATATAATTTGAACAGTAAGAAAAATAAAACACTGAACAACTTCAGATCTAATGATAGGATTTTTATGTACTCCAATCTCAATGGCTTGGGATATGATCCGAAATATATTGCATTAATTAAAATGACTAGTTATCATATAAACAGATAGTTTTTTTACCATAAACCTTCAGGCGAATTCCCCCGTGTAAGAAACAACTAAATATTATCTTAAACTACGCTTTGGATAAACATTTCAATTTTTTTTTTTATTGTACAAAATCAAATTGCTAGTGGTTGCTTAATTTGCTTGCAATTTGAATACAAATGAACATTCATGGCTCTTTTTTTGTTAACAAGTCTTTCCTTGAAGATAAATAAAATAAAGCCATAAAAAGAAGGCTGCAAATAAATATTTTCTTTACACATTACAGCTAAATTTTCCTAAATTTTTAATTTGAAAAAATATGCTTATTAAACAATTTTAGTTAAATGCATTAAATTTTACAAAAGATTAAAGGGAGACTCAAGTTACTTACTTCACTGCTTGCAGTAGATTCACTATCAGCATGCCCATTAACAGACAACAAAGATGACTCTGGCTCTGATGTTTTATTTTTGTTTGAATTAGACTCTAGCACCCTTTTCGAAGTCTTATCCTTGACAGAACACACCACCTCAGCACACTTATTTGATACATTATGCTCAATAGTTTTCGAAGTAGGGGGCATAACGTCATTAACTCTCTCTTTAAAGGAACTTTCTTTACTATTTGAAAATGTCCTACTGTGCTTAGGGATTACTGATGATCTGTCTTTAAACGTATCAAATTTGTTCTTCACTGAGGATGAGTCTGGAGTCTTATTCTTTGGTGAAGGAGTATCACACAGTGGCCTATTTTTCGGCAGAGAGTCAAACTGTTTTGCTTTTGGCAATTTAACAGTAGCAGTTTGTTTGCTTTCATTTACAATTTCACTAGGAACATTTGTGATTGGTTCAGTGTCAGGCAAAGAGGTAGTGCTGGTGGCACTTTCAGTCATTGTAACAGAGCCATTCATCATAGAGTTTGTAGACACAGATAGAAAGGCAGGAGTATTACTTGCACTGAATGTTGTTTGTACCTCAGGTACAACACTGTTTATATTAATACTGGTGTTGGAAGGAGTGCTATTATTGGGAGAATCAGCATATTCTTCCCAATCATCAGGTTCTTGAAAGTTATCTACGATTAATGCATCATTCATGGTCACCGTCTCTTTGACACTACAAAAATGAACCAAATATGAGCTTTATAATTTTACAATCAAATAGGCATATATAGAGTGGCAGTAAACAATACACTCGGAATAAACAAATCAAAGATAGAATGCATTTTCTTTGTTATTCCCCTTCCCAACATGCTTTTTAACATAGCATAAATAACATGCATATTCATGACAAAAATTCATCACTTGTATTGCAGCAAATAATTGTTTAACAAATAATGGTGCTACTAGAAGTGTAACATTGGCTGTAATACTTTTTAATCCTAACTTATGGGGAACTATGCATTAACATTTAATTAAGTGATTAACATTTAGTTCTCTCTTTAAAGTGATTCAAAATATACACAATAGCAGCCATTGATTATCTTTTTACAATTTGCTAAATAGTGACCACCACTAATAAAAAAATCAGCTACTTAATCATAATAAAAAAATCAGCTACTTAATCATAATATAAAACCATAATAAAACCTTCCTATAATAAAATTGCTATCACAGTATTATAAAACGTAATTTTTCCCCCAATTAGGATTCTCTATTTTCAAGTTTCGAAGGATATGCAGCTGACAGGAGTGAAAACATCAGAGATACAAAAAAGAGGAAAATTCAGTAGATCCTTACACAAATAGCAATATAAGAGGTAAATAATAATAATTTATACACATTAAGTGGAAATTCACAGATCCACTGAAGATTTCCACTCTGAGCATATAAATTTTTGTGTCCTATAACAAACAAAAAGAACTAAATTTCAGAAGTGAATTACACTAATTACTAATTATTTATATATCAAGATACAATAAAAGTGTGTTTCCATGTGTTTTCCCTGTACATATTATACACAATACATTAACAGGAAACATCAATTACTGTGCTCTTGTGTGAGCTATATTGGGCTAACTATACCTATTAGTTTTAATTGCTGTAAAAATAGCTGGACATACTTAACTAATGCTATAGTAAATGAAATAGTTTAGTATAGCTGAAATATCAAATAGATTACGCTTTGAGTGGTTACCATTTAATTCCCTGTATTTTCCAGATTTTCCCTATTCTCCCTGTGGAGTGGTAACCCTGATGACTTATTTCACTAATGTAAAATAATGGAATTTGCTGTTAAATAATCAAATACTAAAAGCTTTTTTCTTTGATAGATTGTAATAAAGGTCAGATCTTTTTCAGTTTTGTGGAATCAGTTCTTAGTGATGCAGCAGTCTCATACATTCAACTTATGTCTGTGATACCATAGATTGCAAGTGTTTGGTTGGCCTTTTCCCCATTTGCGGTTGGCTTCTCACACGTAGCTTATAACGTCATCCCTTCTATGTAGCAGTAGAGTACTTAAGGTCCAGTTGAAGATAGTTATGTTGTATATTCTTGCTTTTTGTTGTAGCATTTTCTGAAGCAGACAAAGCCAATAATGCGCATTTTTTTAAAAGAAGTTTAGTTTGGAATCTGAATCACTATATATATGAATTTGATGGCTACTGCTGAAGATTACGAAGAATTGAATTTAGTATGGAGTGAGCAAAGATGCCCCTTTTGATCGTAGAATCATTGAGTTATAGATCATGGAATCTCTGGACTTTTTGTCAAATTGGAGAACATGGAAAGAAAATTCTGCCTTACCTACAGATTCAAACCAAAAAGTCAAGAATATCTCTGGAAGTATGATAGGGCACACATATACAAATTTCTTAGTGTTGACTTGGAATACTGAAGTTTGATCTCGGTGACCACTGCTTAGGAAAAATGCAAGCAGCATTTTGAGACAACTACGAGAGCAAGAGTGATCCAATTACTGGACCAATTCTTCGACTTAAATATACCTCAAGTGAAGAAATTAGTCTGTTTGCTGTTAGATTAAAGATATTCTATAAATATTATATATAGAATATAAAGATATTCTATATATATTAGATAAAGATATTCCCTTCATTAATCTACATGCTGTGTAAGTGATTTTTCACTCAAATTGTGCACCCCTATTTAAGACTAATTATCTTTTTTAACTTAGAAGAAATCTTATTTCTGGTTCTGTAATAGAGGAAGCTGGAGGTTAGTTTGTGGCTGCTAAAAATTTTATTTCTCTGTATAATTGTGAGAATGAGAGGATTCTCTATTGTAAAAGGGTTAATGGCTTATATTATTTAAACCTAATACTTATTCTAAACCTGATAAAGATTTAGTTATTGACAATGTTAGTGATGTGAATGAGAAGTTATTTAATATCTGTGTTCAGTCAAATGATCTAGATATCTGGCACTTAAGATGCCACATGAATTGTGATTATATAACTCAAGTAAGCAAAAATTTTAATGTGAAAGGATTACCTAATATTTGTGTCAGATAGTAATTATATAAAATGCAAATTAGCTAAATCTAAAAGAATTTCATTTAAGCCAAATTTAAGTACAAGGTAGAAGATTAAATTTAAGTATAATGGCGGTATGTGGTCCACCAATGCCTGACATTTCATATTGAAGGCCAGTATTTTCATTCCATTACAGAAGATTTTTCCAGAAAAGTTACTGATTTTTCCATTAAAGAGAAATCTGCAAGATTTTTTAAACTCTAAAATTGAAAATGTTAGAACTGATAATGGCATGGAATATTGTTAAAGAGTTTAGTGCTTTTCTTGAAAATGAAGGTATAAAAGCTGAGTCAGGGTTCTTGCTCTATTTCAAAAAAAAAAAAAAAAATTAGGACTTTTTTAGGACTATGAAAAAAAAATTAGCACTTGATGTAAAGTAAAAATAACATACTTAATCTATACATGATATTAAAAATGTACAAATAAAGTGTTTAACGATTCATGAAGTAAAAATTACATAATTAATCTATACATGATGCAAATTGCGGCTCAATTTTGTCACAATCTTTTTCCTCAATTTTCTTTTTTTGACTTAAGTAATTTAATATGCTTCTCATTTTTAGAACACACTTGCTTTTGTTTTCTGACATTAATTTTGGATTGATACAAGCAGCATTTCTTACAACAGAATAGTTTATTGGACATTTCTCCAGTAAAGTTTCTAACATTTTGGTGATAAACTTTCTGCAATCTTTCTTTATATTCATATGATCCCGGTCAGAAATAACTTTTGAGGCCAACAGCTGCTTTAAAATTTGGTCACCTTTAAAACCTACACTGATTTTTGTCAGAGACACAATTCTTTTCATCACAAAAACTAAAATGGCAGAGTTTCTCCAGAGAATTTAAGTTTTCTATAGATTCTGGCTTCAGAATGTTATATAATTGCACACTATGTAATACCAAATCCTGGATATCTGCAGCAAAAATTGGTAAAAGTGGCCGATCTGCTTGATACAGTTTCAAAAATGGTGAAACTAGCTCCGACAGCTTAAAAAGAATTAATTTGTCTTTTATTGCTTCTTGTAAAGTTAAAAAGGATTTACATTTCACTTTTCTAAACTTGCCAACATTTTTCACATAAGATTTCAGATCATTCCAAAGCAATATTGCTCTTTCAGCTGCAGGTGCATTTTCCAGCCAACGGTGGTTACAAAATCTTAGTGGTAATTTGTTCTCAGTTGATTGATTAATAAAATCTTCTTTTCTTGTGGGTGAATGTTTAAAAAGATAGAAGATTGAGCTCAGCATGGAACCAATGAGCCATTCTGTTTCAGATTCACCTTTGTAGAATGCATTATTTAAAATATAAAGCCCACAACTTCCTATTGTATTGCATTGAACACCATGTTCTTTTAACAAATCTTCTTGAATATTATTATAAAACTTCCAATTGACAGCAGGACCGTCCATAGAAATCTGCAATGATTTCTTCAGGTCTACATTTTTGACTGATGAATAAAAGCAGGCTAAAAGGTCATCTGCTGCAGAATGGCCCAGAAAAGCAGATGTTAAGTATCGCGTCTCTACAATGTTCTTATCTGGGTTTCAAAAGTGGATATGTATATCCAACTGCTTCTGCTGTGTCGCTTTGTTCAAAGACTCATCAAGCTAAAATGAGGTGCAAGTCCAAAATGACAGAGATATGCACACTTAGATTCACTGCAGGCGAAATGACGTGCTATTGAACTGTCTGGAAACATTGTACTAAATAATTTTCCAGTGTCTTTGGAAGAATTGTAGGAGTAGTAGCTTTCTACAACTTTTAAAGCCCATAAAATCTCAGAAGAAAGAACTTTTTTCCCCAAAGCCCAAGAATCTTCTAAAAAGATGGAGGCAGCAGAAGAGCCGAAGGCAACAGAATTTAAGGATTTAGGGAAACCGATTTAAGGAATCCGACCGCTCAAAAAAAAATTCAAAACGCCAATATATAAAATATTTAGCACTTTTTTAGCACTCAGAAGAAATTTTAGCACTTTTTAGGCCCTAAAAAAGTTGGGGAAAAATTTTAGCACTTTTTTAGGACAGCAAGAACCCTGTGAGTGTACTTGACAGCCTTAGAGAATATTAAAAATCTAGTAAATTAGATGCTTTTTGGGCCGAAGCCTTACTTACATTTTTAATAGAAGTATGTCATAAAACCAAATTAAAACTCCCTTTGAGTTTTATAGTGGTAGAAAACCATCAGTCAGTTATATGAAAACTTTTGGTTGTTTAGCATTTGTAGGTCAACCAAAACAGTTGAGAAATAAACTTCAAATGAGATCTAAAGAAGGGATTATGATTAGGTTATGCAATGCATACAAAAGGTTATAGAATTTGGAGTATACTTGTTGAAACAATCAATGCTCGTTTCGACCATAATACAAGATGTGCGGAAGCCGTGCTGGGCACCAAACCCATGTAAGCATAGTTCTGCTAGTTTTAAAACCAGAACATCCAGATTAACATGAAAGTACCTCAGGTGAAGATATGGGTAAGTGATGTAGAAAAGTAAAACCCAATTTAATACCATGTCTAGATAATAGAACTAGTATCTATTAGAATATTGAAAGTTTAAATATAAGATTAAAATCCTATAACAATGTTGAGAATTACTGCAGTTCCTAAAAATTATAAAGACTGTTTAAAAATCTCCCAAAATTAAAAGTTGGATATTAGCCTTAGATTTATGAAAGAAAAGTTTAGGATTAACTGAGTTCGATCAACTGAATTTTCTGTTTCTTCCCCTGAAAAAAACACTGAAAGAGTTTACTGCATGCAGAAAAGAAAAGAAGCGTGCAGAAAAGAAAATTTGTGGGGACAAAATTACAAAATCACACACCTTAGCTTTAATCCTTTCAAGTCTGACCATGGTGCTAGTAATGCTGAACCAAAAAAAGAAAGCTGTTTCAATGTGGAAAAATTAAGCCAGAGCTTAAAAATTAAAGCTTGAGGTTATTAAAAGAATAATGGTGAAAGTTTGGAAAAAAAGAATCAGAAATTTGGAGTCTGTGAAACCACAATAGGAGATTGGAAATACAACAAAGCTCAAACAGAGGATTTTTATTCAAAGATGGATTCATCAAAGGCCTTAGGACAGTAAAAATATATTTTTTTTAAAAAAAGGGAAAAAAAAGAAGCTAAAACTGAAAAGCTTGATGAAGCAGTCTTTGGTTCAAGAAACAACACGCGCAGGGCATATCTATTTCCAGGATCATTAAAAAAAAAAAGAAAACCTTTATTTTGAGCCTAAAATTAAATGAAAAGCAATTGCAGAAGAAAAGTTGTTTGCCAATAGATTCTGCAAGATTTTGTTGAAAGATACGAAGAAATGATCTAGAAAGAAAATTTGACATTAGATAGAATTCATAACACTATTGAAATCAGCCTGATTTACATAACTTTACAATAATTTCTTGATTATATAGATATAATTTTTGCTATAACGAAAGATTAAGTAAATAGTGTTATACTTTTAGGTGATAATTTAAAAAAAATTTTTTTTGTGGGTAAAACTCATAAATTGTTAGGCGTTGAATCTGTCCAAAAGGAGGGTGAGATTTTCATCCAAAAAGTTTGTAAAACATTCTCTAGCTTTAAATTTCCTTAGACATCATTGCAGATTACCATCCTTGTCATCAACAGCTAAAAGAGAAGTGGATGAAATGGCAAAACAATTTGGGTTAATTGTCCGATATAGCTGTTCGCGTAAGGCCGAATATTTGTTATGTGATAAATATATTATCACAATTTCAAGGAAACATTGGACTACTAGGAAACAAGACTACTAGGTTATGTTCAGAATACTCCAGACTATTTTCTAAAAGTGTAAAATATTGAGGAATGAAATATAAATCGTTACTGTGACTCAAAATAATAAGAATGACAGAATATATGAGCGTGCAATAATATGTTCTTTTTTAATATAAAACTTTATCTAACATACTTTGCTGAACTTTCAAACAAAAATCTGTGAGTTTATCTACTAAGGAATCTGAGTATGTGACTGCAATTAATGCTGCTAAAGAGGTAATGTGGATTAATCAAATAATAGATTAGTGTAAGGAATTAAATTTAAAAGCCATAAATTTAAATATATTTAGTGACAATCTGCAATTGATTGTTCGCATCCATGTATTGAAAAGAGTTGACCCATACACATTAACGTACAATATCATTATGAAATTTAATTTATGATAATTTTTTTACTGTTAAACATGTTAGGAGTAAGTTTAACTTATAGGCTTTGTAAAAATGTCCACTATATTTGTTGAAAGCATGAGAAGGGCTCCCGCGTGTTAAGTTAAATAAATACTAAAAAGGATTTTTCATTGTTTGATTAATTGTAATAAAGTTTAGATCTTTTTCAGTTTTGTAAAAACAGTTTTTGGCATTGTACTACTATCATGCATTCAACATATATCTGTGATATCATAAACTAAGAGTGGTAAGCTGGTTTTTATCATTTGCTGTTGGTCGAGCACACGCATCTCTTGGCGCCATCCTTAATCTGTAGTAGTTATGCTGTGTTCTTACTTTTTGTTGTTGTTTTGTTATTTTATCAGAGTGCAATGTGTTACTTTTAATATGTCTCTAAATAAATCGTTTTTATTTCCATGAAAGTTAATATTTAGTTGTACTGACATTTCTGCGACTGTTTTGGATGTCACTTTCACTACAACAATTGAGAGAGAGCATAGCTTTATTCTCAGAAGCAGAAAGTGCCTAAAACTGTGACGTACATCGCAGAACAATTTCATCTTGCCGTAAAAGAATTAAATTCTAAGATGTTGTAAATTGTGGGGATTCACAACTGACAGAATTGTTTCTAAAAAACCAAATGCTTTCGATGGAGATTAAGAAGTTGTTGGAACAACAGACCGACGAATGTTTGTGTTTGCAAATCGTGCACCATGTGGGCCCTTCGAAAGACTTCTAAGGCAGCCCTTATTTTATGTTCGAACCTTCATATCATAGTCATTTTATTAACAATTCATAATTATAGTCATTAACAAAATTTTGTACTTCAAAAAATTGAAGAAGTAACAAATCAAGAATGTCTGTTTTGGTTTAAAAAAATGTTGTGTATCTGTGTAGGATCCTGTACTTTAATAAATGAAAATATAGCATTTTAACGAAAGTTGACTTTTTTCGCTGTGAAATGCTTGCAGAACATATGTATAAATTAATAAGTCCTGTTGGAGAACATTTGAAAATATTCTGCTTATGGGGCTTTATCTAAAAGTCCCTTTCAGGGTCAGAAATGCCATGTAGCAAAATCAAATTTGTTTTGACCAATAGATTAGTTTTCCATATTTCAAACATCAATTCAAATTAGTAATTTTAAAAGTACAATGATGAGCAATTTTGGTAATAAACACTCCATGCCCTTGAAATATCAACCAGAAAAAAAAAAGCAAATTTAAACTTACAATAGCTTTAGTTAGCATAGATTGAATATTTATGAGAAATTTTTTCTTATCACTCAGTGTTAATTTAACAAAAACAATCCAAGAAGCCTAAATCGATTAAAATTGGCTGACAAGCCAATTTTAATAAAAGGCTTCTTCCAATTGTTGCCATTATCAACTTCAATGTCTTTAAAATACTGCCTTACTTGGAGCTAACAATATTATCCAAGAACTGCATCGCAGGTGATTCACCATGAAAACGTTTTAAATGCATATGAATGTGAGCAATGAAAAAGCTGAAAAAGGCTCTTTCAAGATACAAATACATTTACATCATATCTGCTTTGAAGCACTTAGCTGCCTACTTAACAGTAATTGAACAAGGAGCACAAAGTCAGTATTTCACCCAAAAATTCCACTTTTTTGGGAACAGCAAATTCTTAAGGGAAATTTGGCCCCATCACACATTAGCAGATATTATCGCCAGTGTTGGCGAGGAAAAAAATTCCTGAAAATTGGGTGAAGATGCTTAACATCCTATTGAAAAAAAAAAATGCCTAAGAAAAGGGCCTTGTATTCAGTTTTTTTTCTCTGACAAGAGAAACAGAGAGACCAAAGCTGCCCCCCCCCCAAAATGTCTACATACTGTTTGTGGATGCAGTTGTAAAGAAACAAGCTATTATAGCATAACTTTTTTGTTTATAAAATGTTAATAGAAGTACCACTAAATATTGACCAATCCCGAAACGGAAAAAAATGGTTTTAATGCAATTGGTATATAATTAGGAAAATAAAAAAGTGAGAGACATTACACATTCATATATTCTACTCTTATAACATCTTAATATTTTTTGTTTTAATCATTTCTTAAAACATTTTTAAAATTGAAGCATTAAGGCCTTTAAATGCTGTGGCAGCCCTGAGGAATAAACATATATTTCCTTACAATTAACAACTATGAAGACATGACTACCTGTTTTTCAATAGGATACTGATAAGAAAGCTGAAAGAGAGAAAGAATAAAAGTTTTGTATTTTTGTTAGAGCAGATCTGTTTTGAAATATTATGCAGAGTTCACAGCACTTTTTATTTTTGGAGGCTCAGAAAAGTTATACTTAAATTGAAATGAATCCCCAACAGAAATTTAATCAATACTTACGATTCAGGTGATGCAGGAGGAGTGAAGGCACCATCAGTGGGAATAACTGCTTCATCAACTACAGTGATAGTGGAGCTATCTTTAGTTGTGCAAACCAGAGCAGATTCAGAGGTTTGAGTTTTAGTGTCTCGTGTAGCAGGCTTAACAGTCCCTTTAACTATATCAGACAACCTACTCTCATAGACATCAACATCAACAGTTTCCTTTAAAAAGTTGAACTCAAACTTAATGAACATTCAACAAAATGTGGATAAAAAATTACAAACAGTTAAGTTAAACACAAAATCCAAACAATTTTACTAAACACAGTATGTTAGATAAATTACTTTGGGATAAATCATTTTTAAATTTAAATGAAATTTGATGTAATGGACACAAATTATAAAGTAATTCTTGTGAAATTCAATATGAAATTCCAAAATATTTTGATAAAGGTAGTTTTTTACAAAAATGAAATAAGAATGTAAAAATGTAATTTAAATACTAAGAAAGGTTCTCCTTCTGGCTATGTGAGATACCTGAACATATTGAACACTCTTATTTTAACAAAAATATTTCATAATTTTTACATGTAAATTATTTTTTAAGGCAATTTTAATCAATTTCAATAGAAAATTGAGTAAAATTTCTTTTCAGCTATTCTGATGGTAATTACTTATATTGATTAGATTAAAGAAAAAGTTAAGAATGCGACAATATCCTTATGCTGCTCATTTTCACCACACTTGGGCATAAGAGCGGTTAGAAGGGTGAAAATGAATAAGTACATCGAATTTGGCGAAATTAACTCTGCTTTTCAGCAGATTACATTTTCCCAAGCAAGAAGGAAGAGCTTTCATACTATCTGTGCAGATAAGTTTCTGAAAACTCATGTTTTTATATTTTTAAACTAGCCTTATTTAAGTCATAAAAATTGTTTTTAGACCAGCTTAAAAAGATTTATACTCTAACAAACAATCAAGATTTAAAACAATAGTAGCATATTTTTGTATCAATCTGAAGACTGGGCACTATCCACATCTAAACAAATTTAGAATATCTGAGGGAGAAAAAAAAAAAAAGGAAAAATAAAAAAACAAACAAGCCCAGAAAGTCCCCCCTAAAAAAGACCAATTATTGATGAAAAATGGTCCATAACTTGGAAGAATAACTCAAATCGTTGCAAACCAAGCACGTCAAAAAGTGATACTTTAAGCTCAAAATGCACACTTGCCGTAATAACATCGTATAAAGAATATCATAAGTAGAAAAAAAGTGGAAATTGCTGAAAAAACAACTGGATTTACAAAATAGCCAAAAAGTGAATTTAAATCAAATAAAAAAAATAAAAAAAAGAGTTTAAAAAACTAGGTCAGGGTTACCACTGAAATTAGGTTTTCAATTTCTATTTTCCAGGTAAAATCTAAAATATTTCCAGACCAGCATGTTTTTTTCTTCATAGAGCCAGAATGGGTACATGAAAAGTGCCAAGATTATGAAGTATTTTATCCAAAATGTTAAATTTTTTTAAACATATCTTAAAAAAATAATAATTAGATTTTAAATTTATTTTAACAACTTAGAAATTTGTTTTTTTAAATGTTTTGGCACATTTATTTTTAAAACACTAACATATATGTGAAGAAAATATGTTATGCTTGTAGAATATTGTTTTAATTGGATAAATATGTTTCAATGTGTTACTTCAAGTAGTTTTTGCACAAAGTGTACCAAACGACAAATAAAAAGTAACCCAAAAAACATTAGAAGAGACTAGGAAACTAAGAAATAGGAAAAACAAACAAACAAACTTTACTTGAAAGCAGAAGTTCCTTCCACCAATGGGAAGCACTTCCATGGGAGAGTTTTGTGCAGCATTCTAGTTTAAGAAAGAATATAATGGTGCAAATTTGGATAAAGCATTGCTATGTTAAAGATACTTTAACAGGGTGCGTAGCCAAATCTTTGAATCAAAAATAAGCACTTTTTAAAAACTTTTCAAGCACTTTACAAAAATTTTCAAGCACTCAAAAAATTCATATTCAATCAGTGATAAACAAAAACTTTTTATAAACAGTTTTAGCGTTAAAAAAAAAACCCAAAAAGAAACAGACGTAAATCGAAACAATCAGTACTTACCCACATCATCGAGTGAATTCAACTTGACCCTGAACTCAGAACAAAAGTACCCTTACCCCCTACGTCAAAAAAGTGTTAGAAGTAAAATAAAATAAACAATAATAAAATTAAAATAAATTAAAAAGAAAAACATTTCATAAGGATCTGATATTCTCCATCCGAATTGGAGCACTCGGGTTTCGGTTTCAAGTGTGCGTGCATGCGCAAGTCATAACGTGGGTACAACATGAAGTCCGCGTGAATGATTCCGTAGCAAACACCCCATTTTTCGTGTAATGCATGGGATATCATTGAAGGGAGAAAAAAAATTATTCGGGAAAAAAAAGTACTTTTTAAAAACGCCAGCTGAAAAATGGACCTTTAAAAGCTTTTAAAAACGAAATCCCCAAAAAAAGCACCTTTAAGTACTTTTTACAAACGCTACGCACCCTGTTTAAGCGTTTGGCGATACATTTCCGCCCCCAAAAAAGTGGGTTTAACACATAGTAAATTAATTTATAATAAGGAAATTAGTAAAACTAAGAAGATCGAAGAAAAAAAATTCCAGTTTCTCTTAAAAATTCCCAGATTTTTCTAGGTTTTTATCAGAATTTCCCTGCCGGTGTAAAAAATATTATATGATAAATCCAGGTGAGTATTCACCCTGCAGGAGGAAAAGGTCAAGAATGATAAATAACATCTGAAAAATGACAGATTCAAGGGTGAAGTCACGATGGAATCACAAGTGCCAAGAAAAATAATTTTTTGAAATTTTTAAGTCTTTATAAAATTGCATGAAAAAATTATCAGAACTGAAAAATCATGTGAAAGAGGCTGAAAATAAATTTGTGAAAAAAAAATATATATATATATATATCAAAAGATGCAAAATTACGATGGAATCATTACAATTCAAACACTTCAAAAAAGTGATTGTTCACATTCTAAATTTGCATGTCGTAATATTGTATTAAATACATCAGAATTTGGAAAACCATCAGGAAATGATTGAAAAAATTATGAGTTAGTGAGAAAAAAAACCCATCAGAAATTTCATGAAGCATTTAGCGGTAATTGTTTTAAAACTTTGAAAAAATTCCCTGATTGTTTTCCCTATCACCTGCCACCCCATCAACCCAGACAGTAGGGATAAAAGATTCAGGAATTTATATTTTAATAAAACATAGCCATTAAATTTCATCTGCTCAAATATCTATCCTAAGTATAAGTTTATTCCGCTAGATTGCGAAAAAAAAAAACACAAGCACATATAGTAACCTTTTTTGTAATCTAAGTTTACTTGAACTGCATACATTTATTTGACAAAACTATTAAACCTAAAAAATAATTAAAATCTGTCGTGTAGCTTGTAATAGTTAATGATTGACAAAGATTTTGAAAAATATTCAGTTAACTCTACACAGTCAATGTTGAGATCTCAGGCAACAAATTGGTAGATGGACAGAAGGATAGTGTAGCAAAAATATTATTTTACTGCAATTAGTAAAATAGTCACTACTATATATGTTTGCAAGCCCATACGCTAATTATTTACAAATTAGAAATTTGTAGAATTTTCTTTATTATGTGCACCTAATTTTCTAGAAAGTTAAAGGGTCGTGAGAAAAGCAATTGATCTCACATAGAATGACTCAGTAAGGATTAATAAAATTATTTACTTACCAAGCAAGCACTGCCAGGAAGAGGAGGAAATGATGTTGTTTCTAAATCAAATTTGGGAGACTCTGGTTTAGCTTCATTTTCAGTTTGAGACTTATTGAATGTTCCATTAGAGTTTTCGGAATAATTTCTACCACTGTTGGAAGGTCCATTTTCTTTCCACCATCTTTTATTTCGTTGTCTGTTGGCATTCATCCAGTTTTCTCTGGTTTGATTTTCACCACCCTGTTTTGAAGAAGTATTTGCAGAGGTTCCCGAATCCCGGGAATAGGCCAAAGACGCATTGTTCCCCACCGAGAGGTAACTTTGGTCTTGACTATTTATTGCACCAATACCCACTTGATTTCTTGGCACTATAACCGGGTTGTGCCGTGTTTGCGAGGTGTGTGCAGGATAAATAGATGGCAATTTGTTATAATACAAATTGGGAGCAGTAAAAAAGCTCATGTCCACACCAAAATTATGTATGTTTCTTGATCGTGATGCATAGGGCACATAATCAAAAGTACAATTATTGGTATTCACAATATTTGGAAAAGAAGCCTGCTGATGAAGTTGCTGTCTTTGAAGATAGGATGCTGACTGGTTTCGGTTAAAATACCTGCTTTGCTCACTACACAAATATAAAAAAGAAAATTAACTTCCTGAAGACTAAACTTCAAAATTTAAGTACATTTAATGGATATAATAGCATTAATAACTTAAAGTTATGATAAAACTGTATGACTTACTTGTCTCTAGATGCATAGTTGTGTCTGTTTGAGCTATTATTTAATGGTCTGAAAGCTGCCTGAGGAGAAAGGCCATTAACTGAAAGAACCTACAAAAAATAAAAAAATAAATAACTGACACAGGAAATTGTGAATGCCCATTTGCGAAAAATTATAATATTACTAATTATAAATAGAAAAAATGGAGATTAACACTATCCACTTAGAGCTTTGTACAACTAAACTAACACTTAGAGCTTTGTACAACTAAATAAGATTCTTTTCACAACAGTTAAATATTTACTTTATTTTCTTCATTTATAGAGAAAACAGTCGGCAAAGAATTCTGTTAGGTTAAAAAACATTTCGCTAAAAAAATAACGAATTCTCTAAAGAAAAAAAATAAACAACTTAAAAAATAAAAATGCTGTTGCCAGCCATAGAATTTTTTGAAAGTTTATTAGCAACATAAATCAAAATGATATAGAAGCGCAACTAGATCAAAATTATGATACCTCAGCGCTTGACGTTACAAATCCTTCAATTCTAAAAGTGTTGTATCGCCAAATGCCCAAATTAACAATTGTGTTCTTAAAGAAATTCTATAAAAAGTTTTAAATAAAAAATCTACTTCTACAACTGCTTCTTGAAGAACTTGGCTCATTGATTAAAAATATAGCTTTAATTTTACAGTACTAACTTTACTTCTACTTTCATTATTGCTATGACCCTCTTTCATTACATTTTACAACTTCATGCTAAATTTGAGGACTTTAAGTTGTTTTGTGGTTGAATACTGACACTTAGAAATGTGTAAATAAAAAAAATAATATTTAGAGGTTAAGAGTTGCCTCAGAAAAATTTGAATAGTTGACATTGAACTTAACTATGGAAACAATCGTTTTTGTGAAAAATTGAATTGCATCGTTGACATCAAAACTAAAACTATCGTGTTTCAACATTACAATACTACATTAATTTATACTTTAGAACTGCCTCAGAGAAATTTGAATTGTTAGCAATGACTTAAACAAAAAGTTTTATTTTAACTGACAAATACTATATTATAATTTTAACTTTTTCTATGACTATATTCATTTTCTTACTCTTTTCTTTGTCTTTTATACATTTTATTTTCTTGTGATAAAATAAAAAACTTATAGTTGTTCAGCTTCTGAACACTGGTGAAAACACAAAATGATCGGCTTCATCAACAATCAAAAATACAGTAGAGTCCCGATTATCCGAGTTAATGTGGACCACGACTAACTCGGATAACTGAAAAACTCGGCTAAAACGAAGAGTATAAAAAAAGAAAGAAAAAGAGTTGGTATAAATGTAATATATTTAAGAAATATAAAATTTATATGAGTATACCACATACAATTCCTATTATTATTAAAAAAACTTACTTGAAAAAACTTAAAAAATATACTTTGCGAGAATTAAAGAGTTTATACTTAAAAGAAGTCCTTAATCGTTTTTCGTTTTACATAACTTTGGTGCTTTTCTGCAGCAATGTTTCGCCATTTTTTAGGGATAACAGGAAAACTGGTGTCGCCTTTTTTTGTTGTCCTATGTATTCAGTAGCATTTTCGACAGCTTTAAGTTCATCTGTGTGAGAGATTTTTATGTGTTGATTTTCATCGTCACTGTCTTCATCATCTCCGCTAGGTTCATTTTCATTATTGACGGTATTAAAGATCATTTCATGGGATAGAGTTGTTAGATTTTGTTTTCCCGAGTGTTTGGAAGATAAAATTCAGATTTATTTTTCGGCGGTATTTTTAAAAATGAAAAATAAACTAGAACAAAGAAATCCTTAAAATATTTGATAGCTCGGTTAAAGCGGAATCTCGGTTTATCGGGACTCTACTGTATATATATTTATTTTACAAATTCCATATTATTAAGGTGGCGCCCTTCAGTGAATTAAAAATACAAAATTATCTTCATCAAAGCCGATGCTTTACATCCAGCGTTCAGTGGCAGACTACTATTTCATATTGTTTTACAACACATGGCTTTAGCCCTCTGGTGGGAAAGACTTTAAAACAAAACTTACAACAGTTACTTTTCTCAACAACTGAAATTTAGAATAGTGTGATTAAGAAAAATATGTGAACTGTTTGCAATTTTAAATTAATATTGAAATGTACAGGTTTAGAATTTTCTACAGTGAAAAGTTTTCGGAACTTCAGTATTCAAAAAAGTATACAAAAACTAGACGTTAAGAATGTATCCAATGAGGGAGCATTGGATTGCGAAGCAATCCGAAATGAACTGTGAAAGCAGTTCCGGGGGTTGGTGAGCGCCAGCGAGCAGGGGGCGAAGCCTCCTAGTTTTAGTATATTAACTTTTAGTACATGAATTTGAAACTAAGTGTATCTCAACTATCATATAGGAAGTTTTTATACATTTGGATCTTTCTATGTTAATCCAAGTCAAAGTAACCCTAATTAAGGTATGAAAATTGATTGTAAAATTCTTTTCTTTATTTAGTACACACTTATGTTTTATCATCTTATCCCGAAAGTATTAATGGAGTCTTTCAAAACAACTACCTTATAATCCACTAAAGAAAAAAGATATTTCAAAAAGCAAAAGAATACCTCATGTTGAATTAATAAAATCTGTAAAATAAATATAAATAAACTGTAAAAATAAATGGTTTTAAAATTACAATCTAATAAAATTTAAAGAATAAAATTAATGGGTTTTGATCAGGAACAGGGTTACAATAAATAAAAAAGTTGTGATACTTACAGTCCCCAGGTCAACACAGGCTGGAGTAGTTGGTGCCCATGTTTGGAGCATAGTTGGGGGATAAAATGGAGGACAAACCTAGACAAATAAATCCCTAATATCAAGAAAAGAAAAAAAGCAAATGCGAATTGCCAGCAAATACAGTTTACCAGTCTCTAATAGGGATGTAACGAATGTCTGGCCACTAATGGGCACTCTGCCCTTTTGTCAAATATTTGGCCGACGAATATTCAGTCGGCCAAATATTATGTAGAATATTCTAAAATCCTCCATTTTTTAAAAATAGATTTTCATATAACAACGTTTTGTATAATTTTTTCTCACACAATTAGAAATTTTTTTTACACACACCTGTAAGTTCTAAAAGACAATTAAAAAAAAATTTTTTTTTGAAAAATTGAAACTTCATTACTTTACACTGAACCATGCATTCTGTACTCAAATTATTTTTTAAAAAATATATTCTGAAAAGTCAAAAATTTCAAAACGTTAATATATTTTTGTGATGCTGTTTTTATTATAGAGAGACACTATTTTTCTGGAATGGTACTACAGAAAACTGATTTTCAATGCTAAAATGTTTTTTTAAATAGGTGCTTCTATTATGATATGGCTTTTTTTTCTTTTTTCAATGTTTCTTCAATGTAATAAAAAAGGCAACTTGAAGAGACGTGATGTCCCTGAGGCAGAATTTTCTCGAGCTATCTGTGACCAAACTCTTTAGCATTAATACCTTTCTACAAAATACTTTAATAATAACAAACATATATGTTACGAATTTAAAATAACCAAAGTGCTGTGTTTGCAAAAATATATATTTAACAATTTTTTATTCTAATATTGCGGGTGATACTCTTGCATTTTGCTTGGGGAGGGGGGTGCACAAATTATTTTCTTCCTCCCATTTTATAAATAATCATCATTGTAAAAAAATAATGAAACATCATGAAATATGTAGCAGTAATTGCCGAAAAAAGATCGAACTCCTCAATTAGGTCGAGAATAGGTCGTTGTAATAAATAATGTTGTATAAAAATATTGGAAATAAAAACTATGGAGAAATCAATGGCAATAACCACTAAAAATTCAATAGAACTATTGACTTAAAAAGTAAATACTCAAATGCAAACTTTTTTTTAATAAAAAATCTTTCGGCAAGAACTGTGTAATGTTCTACGACAATGTCGCCGCGATTCTGCCATAGGCAGTTTCTCAGATTTTTAATATGAAATTTCTTTCTTGAAAATTAAGAATTTTTTTTTTTGTTTTAGCTTCTATTGTGTTTATTTTTCAAAAACACTTTTGTTATTAGCAACACAGCACTTAAAAAGACTTCTACTGTACTGAGTTGTTCAGCCTCAATATTTTCTTTCAACAATTAAGATGTTAAAATTTTTTTTCTTCGTATTATACAGTTAATTTGCTTTATGGTCATTTTTCTCAAAGCAAGAAATTTTTTTAAAAACAGTTTCTGATATACCACATTTCTTTTAGCGTTTCATGGATATTTTTTTCTAGAAAATATTCTTTTCAGCATTAAAGTTTAATTTTATGAATCAAGGGGTTATTTTTTTCTCTATTTTTCAGCTTTATTTTTTTTATAGCTGTTAATTTTTTACTTATGAATATTTCTACAGATAACTATCGTAGTTTCCCTTTGCAATCATACAGCTAAGTTCTGGTTAATTCTTTCACAAATGCATGAACTCATTTATGTATAAGATATTCATTAAGGATTTCTTTAAAAAAAGAAATAAAAGTTGCTATTTGATTGACAAACATTTGGAGATCGGCCAAATCCCTATTCGTTACAACCCTAGTCTCTAAGGCAGTGATTCTCAACCACAGTGCCGCCAAATTCTTAAAATGTGCCGCTAAATATTGGAAATGATACAATAAAAATTCAAATGCTTTTTTTATTACGAGTGAAGTTTAAATTAAAGAAAAGTATATATATATATATATATATATAATATTATGGCAATCATGGTTGCGCGACATTGCGTGTTAACAGGTTATTATTAATCGTCACGAAAATGAATTTCCGGTACTTAAAATTACTTTAATGACAATAGTGATTGAATAATGCTTATTTTTTTTTTAGCTGGATATGCTTTAAAAGAAATTTCGTAAGAATTTTAAGCTAACTCTTTATAGCATAAAGGTACAATGCAGAGAAAAAGAAAAAAAGAAAATCTGAATTACTTTTAGATTAATGATTGTATTTTATACATTAATTAAATGGTTGGAAAAAAAAATTGAAATTTTATATGCTAATTTAGTAATACAGACGATATTTTAAGATACGAAATCAGACAAGAAAACTTATTTTCCTTTCGAAGTATCTCATTTACATTTTGGTTTCAAAAATATAAGGTATTAGAATGTTTCTCCCTCAAAAGAAGATAATTTTATTTTTCCCCTTCCTTTGAAGCGTTGAACAGCCGACACAATTCTGAGTTTACGTCTATTAATATTCAACTNTATTATTTTGTTTCACATTCAAAATTATTATCACAGACTATTAACACAGTGTATTATAGGTAAGTAAACAAGTTTTAAACTAAATTTTTTTTTTGTGTGCCGTCAAATTTCGAAATCGTTAAAAGTGTGCCGCCACAAAAAAAAGGTTGAGAATCACTGCTCTAAGGCATAAAATGAAAAGGAAATACATACCTGTTGATTATTATAGCTATCATTTGGAACATTAGTATAAGTATATTGAAGAGGAGTTTGTGGCGCCTGGTTTACATTTTGAGTGTTATAAGACTCTGGTTCCATTGTAGTAGGAGCTCCATTTTTATATGCATTAGTAAAAGGAGCCGACGTAAATGCTTTAGCCTTAATACGAGCCTGAAATATTAAAAGACGTTCAATAAGTAATTTTACGTAGTTAAACACTTACTCAATTGAAATTTTTCTTACTCTTTGTACTTAGTTTAATTCAAATGTCAAGATTTTGAGAAGTAACAAATCACAGGTCTAAAAGCAGGCCAAAGATAATAACAAATATAACATAAATCAAGACAATATTTTGCAAAATATTCAGGACAATTTTCGAAGTAGTAAACACATACCAGATGCTTTTAAAAAGAACACTCCCCCGAAAAAAGAATAACTTACTCCACTTAAGTATGAGAAAGGTAAAATTTATTATAAAAGAATAATAAAGTATACTACCTTTAGTTTCAGAATTGCTTTGTTCAGAACAGAAAGTTTTAACAGAATTTACTGTAATTTTATGCACAACAATGAACAATAGTTTGAAATAAATAGAAAATTATGGTAGTGTCACAAAAAAATAAATAAACGCAATTAATTAGTTAATGCATTACGCTACAGGGTTCATGCTCTACTATAAAAATAAAATTCAAGTACTTTACAAGACTTATTATAAGATTCTCAAGGACTTAAATTTTAGTTAAAGATAGACTAAAATTTAACATTTTAAACTAAAATGTTTTGACGATAAATGTTAGTCGATAATAGCAGTACTGAAGAATAAGACTTCCATTGCTCTCTCTTGATTTCGGAAAGTGATCTAAGTATATATATATAAAAAAAACAAGGGTGATTGGCATCAAGTGGAGAATAAAATTCATGATGCATAAAAACGTCAGGTTTGAATTTTGCATTAAGGCTTATTTTAAGCTAGGTATACAAAGTCTGAATAAACAAAGATTCGGGCAGAAGACGGGGTAGGGGGGAATGTTCTATATAATACTGTGATATCAATTAGATATTTAAAAACAACTCTGCCGGGAGACTTTTATTTAATATTTAAAGTGGCAGAAGCATTTAGACAGTGAAATTTAAATTGTTCTTAAATATAATTTTGAACTTTTCTATTTAAGAAAATTAATCAATTATTGGATGTTGCGGCTTGATTATCATTTTAAATCTATTACCAGTCAACCATTTTAAATTGAAACAGTTGCCAACTTTCACCTCAATACCTTCTGATAGGTTCTTAGTAACAATTTTGGTCACTGACTTTTTTAATTAACCACTCATACTTGAATTAACTTTTTTTCAGTAGCATCGATCATACGCACTTGACATGGTCACGTGAATATGAATTGCAACGAGTAGTTTTCAAATCGAGTATAAATACGAAAATCGATGTTTGATATCGCAAAATGCGTGAATACGAATAGCGACATTGGATTTTAAACTCGCGGAAAAACTAATTGCGCTAAAAAAACGCTTAAGTACAAATCGCGATATTAGATTTTTAAATTGCTTTAATGGGAATTGCGAGTACGATTTTTGAATCACGCGAAAACGAATTGCAACACCAGGCATTAAAGTGGACAAAAATAAAAAAAGCTGAACTTTTACAACGCAGGTCACTAGGAGGGGGGGGGGGAGTGCTCTATATGATACTGAGATTTATAAAAGCAACTTTTAACTACGCTGGGAGATTTTTATTCAATATTTAAAGTGGCTGAAGCATTTAGACAGTTAACTTTAAATTTGTGTTAAATATAATTTAAAAATTTTGACCACTAATATATTAAAAAAAATTAAGCAATTATAGGAAGGTGCGACTATTAAATTACTTACTAATGAAAAATATATCACATCTTTACAGTAACTAATTCAAGAGAAAGCTTACTTCTACTTCTTTCAATAATCGTGATATTGGGTTTTAAAATCGTGTGAATATGAATCTTGATATTGGATTTTAAAATCGAGTGAATATGAATCGCGATTTTGGATCTTAAAATCGTGTGAACATGAATCGCGATATCGTATTTTAAAATCGTGTGAACATGAATCGCGATATTGGATTTTAAAAACACGAAAATACAAATCACGATATTGGATTTTAAAATCGCGTGAATACAAATAACGATATTGGATTTAAAAATCGCGTGAATATGAATCGTGATTTTGGATTTATAAAATCCCGTGATTACGAATCACACTGTTGGATTTTAAAGACACGAAAATACAAATTGCGATATTGAATTTTTAAATCGCGTAAATAAGAATCACGATGCATAATTTTTAGATCATGTGAATACGAATCGCAGTGAGTAATTTTTAAATAGCGTACAAATACGAAAAACGATATCTGATATTACAACTGCGCGATAACGAATCGCAAAATTGGATTTAAAAATGCGTGAATACGAATCGCGACGTTGGATTTTAAACTCACGAGAATACAAATCGCGATATTGGGTATTTAAAACGCTTAAATACAAATCGCGATATTGGATTTTGAAATTGAGTGAATAGGATTTGCTAGTACGATTTTTAAATAGCGTAAAAAAATTGCAACACGTAAGTTTTAAATCAGTTAAATACAAAAATCGATGATTGATATTAAAATCGTTTGATTAAAAACCGCGATTTTAGCAAATTCCGGTGCAGTTCCTAATATTTAAAATTCCAAAAATCAGCCAAACAAACAAAAAAATCAAATATCGGCGCTCGTAACGAAACGCTTAGACTCCTTTCCACTCTATAGCAGAAGTCGCGGTAATCCGACTATCGTTCGGGCGGCTTGGGTTTCTCCAATAGGACTTCCCAAAAATTTTAGTTTTTGGAACATGGTCGGAAATTTTCAAAATTGGGGAAAAATAGCGGATTTCTGCTTTTTCGTGGAAGTCTTTCATCCCTGCAACACATAATTTTTAAATAAGTCTAATACGAAGATCGATATTAAAATCGCCTGAATAAGAATCGAGATTTTGTCAGAATCTGGCGCAGTTCCCATTATTTAAAATTCCTAAAATCAGCCAAACATACATAAAATCAAACAGTACGTGTCATCATCTGAAAGACGGGGAAATCATTCTCTCACACTTACGCGCGTCATAAAGTTAAACATAGAAATACTGGAAATAGGGCTGTTTTCCTGAGTGTTCAATATTTTCAAGGTCATTTCTAAATTTTCAAGGATTTAATATCATTTTCAAGTACTTCTAGGGGCCCTTGAAAATCAAAATGAAATTCAAGTACTTTTCAAGGACGCGGGAACCCTGCGCTAATATTAAAATTAGCAAATAAGTAGAAAGCTGCATTTTGTAGTTCTTAAAAGATTTGTTTCATTTTAAAGGTTAGAATATTCAACTCTTATTATTAATGTGCAACAAAAAAAAAGCTATTTTTTTAAAATGTACAGCTAAATGACACTTTGTGATCCAAGTGCCTTTTATTTGAGACATATATGTGGATAATTTCTGGGCAATATAGAATAGCGTGGCAATATAGAATAGTTTGAAATTATTCTTGTATTTATAGAATCACCCAATCAGGTTATCATTAAATAAATAAAATAAAAAAAAGTAGTGCAGATTCTATAAACGTACACATAAAAATACAAGGTATTTTTTTTACAAAAATTAAAACCTAAATTGAAGGACAGCTATTTGATATCCATTTCTTTGATTCAAACAATATTTTTACTGAAATAAAGCTAATATATATATATATTTTTTTTACAATATTGATTGAATACTTCAATGATTAAGAGTAATACATACCATAACTGGTTTCCCATGAAAAGTTTTGGCTTCTTCTCTTAAATATTGATAGGCTTTTTGTGTATCAGCATCAGATTCAAACAACACATACCAACTGTTATTATGGGCAAATTCACACCGTAAAAATTTTGGACAATTTTCACTACTAAACAGCTCTTCAAGTTCCTGAAATAAAAGTTTAATTAAAGATACATTTTGCAAAAAGATAATATTTGATGCATAAAATAAACTAATAATAATTCAGTTCACCCCTTTGTGATCCAAGCGCCTTTTATTTGAGTCATATATGAATTTAAATAATCACCATTTGATAAAATTTATTTGTGCATGTGGCATTTAGAATCCTGATACAGTAGGGAATCGATTATCCAGAACGATCGGGACCATCGCTATTCCGGATAACTGATTTTTCTGGTTTTCTGAATCGCTACAAAAAGCTGTTTTTATTGTTAAACCCAACTTTAAAAAAAAAAAATATTTGGAAATACAGTGCCCGCCGCTAATAAAATCACTGGATAATAAAATCAGCCGCTTTATAAAATCAAATCGGCAAGAACCGAATCGTTACAATATTAATACATGTTAAAAACATCCTTTAATAAAATCAATGCCACCGCTTTTTAAAATCAAAATTTTGACTACATAATAAATCAAACGTGCAATATTTCAGCTTCTTTTGTTCTTATTAATAAAATTTTATTTTTTCGAAGTTTAAAGAATTTTTAAGCTGGCATTTTCCTGCGATATTCATAGTGTAAGAGTTAAGGAAAAATGTGGGTGGTAAGCGGCGAGTTCATAGAAATCAATGTCAATTCCTTGACTTGAATGAAGTTTGGAGAAACCTATCTCATTCAACAGGGGGTCGAATTCTTATCTTATTTTTTATTGAATGAACCATAGAAGGGAGAGAAGTTTCTTT